CCTAAAGGGGCCGACCAGCTCTCTTCCCATGATTCCAGCCCAGAACATGACTCCACCACCACCTTGCTGACGTTGCAGCCTTGTTGGAACAGGGTGGCCGTCCACCAACCATCCACTACTCCACCCATCTGGACCATCCAGGGTTGCACGGCACTCAACAGTGAACAGGACTGTTCGAAAATTAGTCTTCATGTATTTTTCTGCCCAATGCAGCTGTTTCTGCTTGTGAGCATTGGTTAGTGGTGGCTGAATAGTAGGTTTATGCACAGTTGCAAGACTCTGGAGGACTCTACACCTTGATGTCCATGGGACTCCAGAAGCACCAGCAGCTTCAAATATCTGTTTGCTGCTATGTAATGGTATTTTAGCAGCTGCTCTCTTGATCCGATGCTTTGATCTGGCAGAAATCTTCCTCAATGTGCCTTTATCTGCACAAACCCATCTGTGCTCTGAATCAGCCGCAAATCTCTTAATAGTGCGATGATCACGCTTAAGTTTTCGTTTAATATCTAATGTTTTCATACCTCGTCCAAGGCATTGAACTATTTCACTCTTTTCGGCAGCAGAGAGATCCTTTTTCTTCCCCATATTGCATGAAAATGGTGCTCTGCTTAATAATGTGGAACACCCTCATTTAGTAGTTTTTCCTTAAATTGGGCTCACCTGGCAATCTAATTATCACAGGTGTCCGAGATTGTTTTCAGTGATCAAAAGAGCCCTGAGACACAATGCCATCCATGAGTTAAACTGAAAAACAAAATATTTAATCTTTGTGACACTTAAATAGAATTTGCATAATAATTTGGAACAGGGTATAGTGTGGAATCCCTCTGAGTGGGTTTGTGGAAAGGTTTTTTTTTTTTAAGTTTTGAAATGTGTGTTTGTAATTATTTCTGCACATCTTCTCATTGCACTTTGCACTTCACATTTAATGTAAGTGTTATAAAAGGGCATTTTTTTGCACTTTGTGTATGTATTGGTGTTTTGCACATAAATGTTTTATATTTGCACTAAATATTGTGGTCTTAAAGACACAGCGTGTGACGGAACACCATCACTGAGTACCATGCCCACATGTGCCCACTCCCTTGCCTGCTTATTGTTTTCAGGTCATCATGCTGGGGTTCTCCTGTTGTTTGCAAATCATGTTTGGGCTTGATTGGAAGATTGTGCTTGTCCCATTCTAAATATGATAAAAATGAGACGTGAGTATTGATCTGTGGGTGGGTATTAATATCTCTTTTGGATCTGATATTGAAACACAAGGGTTTATTTTTGTTCTTGAAAACTAATGACCATTAACATGTCAAATGACTTCCTATCTAAGAGGCAATCAAGACATATGGCAAATGGGAGTTAGTTTGTGCTGAAGCCAGACTTCCAGGCCACTTGTGCGTGACTTCTCACACCTGGAAGAGTGGCTCTGTTGGGGTCCCCAGCTTCAAAGAGGAACTTGGGTTGTAAGCTCTGACCTTCCATGCAATCACTTAACCCCTTCTGAAAAATAAAAAGTGCTTGTGGGGTGTTTTAAAATTGTATAGTTTTTTTTGTACCTGAGAGAGCGAGTTTGTACAGTTCCTGACTCCATTATCTCCCAGGCACAGGGGAGGAGTTTGTGTGTAGTTGTATGAAGACCCCCTACTGAGGGTCTGTGTATAACTTGGCTGTACCACGACGCATTAAACAGAAGATCAGTTCAGTTGACTCCCAGGACTATGTTTCGTCTGGTTACTGGGGAAATGTCTATTTACTTGTGCTGATGGTTCCAGAGTGGCTGAAAGAAGGTAATAGCGGAGGTAACCAGCGTACCTTTTTTTCTTGTTTGTATTGTTTGAGGTTATAAGTGTTATTTTTATTTTATTTTTATTTTTTTGGGGGGGTGGGGGGGGAGTATAACACTTCTAAGGTGCTGCTAATGATTTTTATGTATATATACTTTTAATAGATGTTTAGAGCGCCATGTTTCACCTGTTTTAGTAGCTACTCAAAATCTCACTTTTACAAAATATATACCAGCTTTAAATCATATATTGCCTTGCTGTACTCGGAAAGTGAACTCCACTTTTCAAGGATATACATTTGTAGAGTCCACAAAAATATATACAAGGGAAATCATGCCGTCTCAGTTAAAGCATTATGCAAGTTAATATGAGGCCTTAACACCATGATGTAGATAGCATAAAATAGGAATAGTGATAGGGTAAGGTATTGTGGGTACAGCATCTCTCCATTGTTAATGACTCAACAACAGGTGGTCAGTACATTATTGCCCATGTGCACTGATCTGGAGTGATTCTTATAGAAGTGTGAGTATCTCCCCAAGCCAGTTTTTAGAGGTTTCAGAGTTTAACCACAATATCTAATGGGGCCTATCTTGTAATCTGATACAAATATGCCCCACAGATCCTTTGCATGTTTCGTAAGTATGTTCGGTCTTAAGTGACATACCTTCTGTAGTGGTCTCCGGGTAACCCAACTGGTTACCTCCGCTTTTTTTACCCCCTCAGCCAGACTGGAACCGTTGTGTGATAACGCTCGTATCCCCCCAATAGCCAGGCGAGACATGGCTCTGGGAGTCATCTGGTTTATTCAGGCCAAACACTCTCAATTTACACACAGACCCCAACAGGGGGTCTTCATACAGAAACATAGCGTTCCACTCCCTGGCGTCCCTGTGTCTGGGAGATAATTGAGTAAGAAAACTAAAGCTCAATTATCTCTCATTTGCAGAGAAACATAATATTTATACAATCCCCCAAAAGTACCCCCAATAATAACACGTATTTTAATCAATATTCCAGGGTTCTTATGAGATACAGGGGAGGTCCTTGTTCAGGAGTCGAACTAAGTTATTACAAAGGAATGTTATTTTCCGCCACACCTTCGTATGTCCAGTTTAGTGTAATCTTGTTAAGGTCTTGATGTGAGGGGACTTTACTAGATTTCCTTAACCTGGCTATCAGCGTGTTAGCTGCTGTCAATACTTGGCAAGTCAATTTATGATGTAATATTCATATCTTGTGATCGCATAAATAGGATATAAATCTCCAGCTGTGCTTGGAGTTCAAGATCTGGGCAATCATAGACCAGTAGGGTTGCAGGACCAAACTTGTCAACCAAATGTGGTACATGCTACACTCTTCTTTAAAACACCTCCAACATATTGAGAAACCGGATGTAAGACCCTTATGGGGTAAAAATTAGTAATTCCACACCCGCTGTGTCAACTCTTTTCCTAGCTCTGTCTGACCGGCTTTACCAAATCCAGCGCCAGTGTTTTTTTAATCTTTGTGTCAGTGTGTATGTGTGTGTGTATATGTATCTGACACACACACGCACTGGCACACAGTGTGTATCTGTGTGTTTGTATGTGCCAGTGTGTGTGTCTGTGTAACACAGATGCACACATAGTGGCACACCTTGACACACAAATACACACATCTTGACACACAGTATGTATCTGTGTATCAAAATGTGTGTATTTGTATGTGCCAGTGTGTATGTATCAGACACACTGGCACATAGTGGTACACAGATACACACAACTTGATACAGAGTGTGTATCTGTGCTTGTGTGTATGTGTGTGTCAAGGTGTGTGTATCTGACACACAAATACACACACTGGCACATAGTGGCACACAGATACACACAGATGCACAAACTGGCACATACACACCCAAATTCACATACATTGGCAGAAACACACACTGACACAGGTACACACACACGTTTCACTTACCTTTTATTTTCTTCCTTCAGTGCTGCAGGCTGCTTGAGGATGGTGTGCCAGATCGGCATCTACTTACTCTCCGCTGCGCTCTCTCTCCTTCCAGCCAGCAAGCTCTGCCTGGGAGAAAGTGCTGTCAATTCCTCCCAGCATCCCATACAACAGGAGTCCAATCGCGGTCTTAGACGTCCATGGCGCCTGACCGGACCCCTTTGTAGCTACACCCATCAGGTGGTCCTAAATGCTTGGGCCATCCGACGGGCAAATCACCACGCAAGCCCAATTTTGTTCTTGTGGAACCCTAATTGGGAAACGCTGGTATAGAGACAACATGACTTATGAAAGCTGCTTTATAATAAGTTCTAACACTTTCTCATTGGTCTCTGCAGTGTCTGGGTAGCTACTCTCACTTTTTTATTGTTCCAAATGAATCTTAACAAGTATTGTGGATTATGTAAATATACTTTCTGCAGTGGAATTTGCAGTGTGCGGGGAAGTTATTGTAGTTCTGGCAATAGACATTTTTCATCCTAGGATAGGGAATATACATTCTGTTCTCCAGCTCACAACTCTTACTCAAGGATTGATGGGTTTATCCTGTCTGGTTCCCATATCGACCAAATCATAGAATGTACGATTGGCTTAATATCATGGTCCGATCACACTCCTGTTGAGCATACTCTCAAAGGCAAATATCACTGTAGGCATTGTTGCCCCTGGCAAGTCTCTTCTGATTAGTCTACTGTGCAGAACTCAACCGTTGTAAATGCAGAGAGCATTCATTAAACAGTACGGGAATGGAGAACATTTTGTATGTGAATGTACCCATTCACCCAAAAAGAGCCGACTACTTTTTGACAGTTAGGATCTAATGCTAATAGTGTATGGCTATGGCTTAGTAGCTCCCATATCCATTACCAATGATTAAGAAGAAAACACACTTTCTCTAACGCCATTTGATTAACAAAATGGTTTATGTCTTAGGAAAAAAAATTCCTTTTCCTCCACCTAAGTCACAGATTTACCAATGTTAAACTAAATGGGAGGTTCAATTCTAAGCTCTATCTCCGGTGATATAGAAGGGCAGGATATGATCTATGATTCGGGGGCACAGATCTGTCTTGTCTTCTCAGGGTGGTGCATTGAAGAAAGTGTGTTCATTGTCCAGACGCTGCTGTATTCGGCAGCACACAAGTAACATTAGGCATTTTTAACGCACAGAAATGCTGAACAATAACAGAAATCCACAAACAATTTTGTATGGAAAAACATTTTTTTTTTGTTTTAATCTTCATAACACAATTTACACTGGAAAACACTTCATGTGATCGCTATCTGTTTAAAATGAGCAAGGCTTGGAACAGTTTAATATTGTAGAATGGATTGTTCTCCCACACTGTGTATGTACAAAGTCAGATTGGAACTGGGATATAAATCTGATCCACATATTGGATCAAATGGAATTTGAAATTTGGCTGTCAGAAAGCACTATGCTTATGTATATAATAACTGCATAGACAATTGCAAATTTAAGGCCATAATAGCTGAACCTGATAACAGATAAGTAGGAGAACATTGCCACCTCTATTTTGGTCTAAATTCCCATACAAATTGTCCACAATTCCTGGTTTGTCAAATAACACTATCTTAAAGGAACACTATAACAATAGGAATACAAAACTGTGTTCATAATGCCATGGTGTTCTCTTCATTTAGATTAACCCCCACTCCCATCCAACTCTATATAAAAACAGGAATAAAGAATATCAACTTTTTTCCAGAACATAGAATCCCTGCAGCCGCTCAATCTGCCTCCTGTGAAGTCACGCTGGGGCTTCTAAACATCGTCATAGCGGAGCATTGGGGACAAAAAACGCATGTGCTTCTCCAGTAAAATGGATGTACACTACGAGAAACAACTCACTTTTTTCTCACAGTGGAAGAGCCTCTGGTCGTACTTCCAAACAGCAATGTTTTACATTAAGGGGTTAAAACTAATGGCGCACTGCACCCAGACCATTTCAATGAGATGGGGTGGGTTACTTTAGGGGACCCCTTTAAAAAACACACTCTAATGAATTTAGCAATATTAAAATGATACTGTAACTAGATGTTTATTATTTTCAAGATGCAACATGACAAACCTCCCTTGGATTTAACCCCTTAAGGACCAAACTTCTGGAATAAAAGGGAATCATGGCATGTCACACATGTCATGTATCCTTAAGAGGTTAAAGGGACACTCAAAGCACCATAACTACTGCAGTTTATAGTAATGGTTATAGTTTCATTATGCTATATGTGCAGTCCCTCTGGTTGCTTTCAAAATATTTTAAGTGGGTTGACAAAAAAAAAAAAAAAATATATTGGCATCCCTAGTCTCCCCTCCCCAGCATGTCATTTTAATTCACAGCAACATTTCACTTCTTCATTATCTGTCCTAAAGTCTTTATGATGTGAACATGTACTGCATGCCCTTGCTGTGCAATAAAAAGAATGAGTACTGGGGTATATGTTCATTTGGTGTCTCTGAATTATTACTGCACTTCTTGATGCAATTAAATCTCTGTATCAATTTGTGGAACCAATAAGGACCACAGTTGCATCAATTCACTCATAGCGGATTCAACATATACAACAAAGTTCCTAGCCTCTCTTTGCACATAAAGTGCATTCATGCCTTAGAAATTCTTGGATAAAGAGGAAGTGAAATATCACTTTGCAATTTCAGAGATGGGTGTTGGATTCCAGGAATGCTCTCATTTGACAAAACACCAGGTGAACTGCTCCCACATTGTCACAGGGTCATAACCAGAACAATAGACTATTCAACAGGCTGCAGTAGCTATGATGCTTGGAGAGTTCATTTAATTATAAACATTAGACATAAAGCATTTCAATCCTAAATGGTAGGACAGGGGTACCCAAAAGGTAAATTCCCCAGATGCTGTAGAACTACAACTCCCATGATGCTTTGTATGACTTTTGAATTCCTTTAGAATGGCAAAGCATCATGGAAGATGTAGTTATAAAACAACTGGGGATCTACATTTTTTAGGCACCCCTGCAGTAGGTAAACCTCAATATAGAGCCAACACAGTTCCGACAGTTCCACATTATAAGTACCAATCATATATAAGATATGGGAACTGATTACTTAAAGGAACATTACATATGTGTCCTATAAAAATACCAGTATTCTTTTCTAACCAATAACGTTGAAGGGTTGTTATAGACTTACTTTTCTTGTGAATGTGTAGGCAGGCAGCCATGCTTAATTGACCTCTGAGCATATATGTAATAAGTGTAATGTATGTAACAATGTAATGAAACAGAAAAAAAAATGGATATAAATCTTGTAAAATTATATTATAAAAAACTAAAAAGTCAAAACTGCCTACTTTACAACAATTAAGATTTCACCATTTTGTGTGCTTTTATGCATTTAAACCAGGCCTGACTTCAAGATAAATGACCCTGTGCTGCCAAACGATAATTCCCAAGATGCTTTGCAAAGGGGGCTCTACCTAAAAGCCGTCACTTCCTCAAAGTCTTAATTTAGACACGTAATGTAAGTAATCAAGCAGATTTCTAATTGAACAATTTTCAAGTGAATTTATTTTAAAAAGGCACTGCAATATTTTTGCACTTTTGTTGTCTAGTTCTTAGATGGTAAGGAATGCGTTAACATCCACTACGGCCTTTTGTAAACTGAAAGAATGAAAAAGCATTTTTGAATAACAGTTCTTTGGTTCTGTAAGGGTTAAAGCTTTTGCACCACAGAGAATATGAGCAATACAATCCATTCAACTGGATAGCTGCTTGCATAGATTGTGTGGGTGCTAAATCTCATGTTTGCATCTATCACATTTTTCAAAAGCATGATATATTGACAAAGGGAACTAAAAAACGGAGCATGAAATGTTGGATCATACACTTTCATTATATTGCAATAGATCAATTTAGCAAAGGTAAACAGTTATCGGTTTTAGATGTCCTTCAGAATAAGGCCACTTAAAGAGGACAGTGGCCGTACATGAGCCAAATATGTAGATCGCATATCATTAACAACGAGGAATTCCATGACGAATGACCGATACAATCAAATTCTATAGACGATAAGATATGGAGATAAAATGAGTATCTAATTAAAGTAATACAAAGTCTTTCTAAAAACAAAGAATTAACACTAAGCGTAAACGAAAAGATTTCCAACTTATAGCAATTGGTAAAAAAGTGATGTAAAGGATTACTCCAAGCACCATAACCACTTCAGCCTGCAGTAGTGGTTATGATTTCAGGAGTACTCTGGCACCACTCTCCAGTAATGAGGCAAAGCAGTTTTTAATTCTTTGCTCCTACCAGGCACAAAGGGGCTAGTCTCCACGGCAGTGACGAAATCTGGCTTTGGTGGAGCTGTAGGAGCCGCAAGCTGATCACAATTTAATGCCTGAGTCAGCTCTCAGCAGAATGCAACACTGTGCATAGAAATATGCACAGAATTGACATTAACCAGCCCAGATTCTTGTTCAAGACTGGCTAATGATGCCCCAATGGCACTGCTTTAGGTGGAGTTACACAGTTAAATGCTGTATGTGCAGCGTTTCATAATTTAAACACACATACTCCAGTATCTAAATTGTAAAAGGTGTCGGATTTACAAAAAAAAGGTATTTCACAAATATCTTTAGATATAATGTATCATCATATCATTAGTAGAATTGTTTGCTTTAATAGTTTTATTGGTGATCAGCAATTCACTTTTTACATTTTATTTTCAGTTGTTACGGTTTTAAGAATTTTATACAAAATGTAATATTTTAATTAGATACACATTTACCCTCTTTTGAGGTTTCTTTATGCTTTTTTATGTGTTTGATTAACTTTGTTAAAGTTAAAAACTCCATGACATTCTGTCTGTTGAGATCACAGCGAGTGTTTTGGAAGCTGTTACACCAGGTATTGTCTGCACATTTGAAATTTGTTTGCCATGAGTCAGTCATTCATTGAATATGTCGTCAATGTAATGGCTTAGTTTTAAATACTGCAATTTCCTGTAACATTGTAAATTCAGCTGGATCAGGTGGAAACAAGAATAGTCTCACATACATTCACTAACAAACAGAACAATCGTTGCTTATTGTCAATTATAATACAAGACACTGACAGCTCCCTTCTATGGTGGAGAAAAAGCAGATAAATTAATAAAATAAAGGGTAAAATTAAAAAGTACAGCAAACATAAAAAAAAAAAAAAAAAATCACAGACAATCAGAAATATAAAAATAAACAAACAATTTATGCTTCCCAATGTCAGAAGACAGTAATGGGAGCTTCTTTTCACATTTTTTTGATTGATTCATTTATAAAAATAGAAACGGGTGCATTTAAAATACAGAACACAGGGTGCATTTTTACACTGGGAGTTAAAGTGCATGTTTGCAGAAGCTGGATGCGGAACACAAGGCTGTCTCAAACTAAGCTGAAGCCCTCGTAATGATCAATAGCTTGGGTGAGTCTGACTCTGAGAGTTTCTTTGTTGCTGTATTTTGGGAGGTCCAAAATGTTGTAACACGTGTGAGCTACAGGGAGGTGATCCTCTCCACTCGATACAGGCTGGATGATAACGCGTAGGCTTGACATGCCATAAATAGGGATGCGGTCACTGCCGGTGAGAAATACTAGAGAAAGATTACAGTGAAATGGTTAGTATATGAATTTTACAGTACATGCTTGATAGTTTTGTAAGGGAAACCCACTTGAAATAAACACTATTAATTTGATGAAAGCTATTCAATCTTCTACACTGCTATGTAGCTTACAGAGAAATAAACAAAATATGCAGATATTCTAATGTCATTATTAATATGTATGCAGTTGTTGTACACTTTAGTAGCAGCTGAATACCAAAACTAACCTGTTGGGAGCAGCCATTGTGCCTTCCCAGAACACCTCTTATAAAAGAAGGCTCATATTACTTTATTACTTACATCATTAGGCATACTTTGAAAAAATTCATGCTTCAGGACTTTCATGAGCAACCTGTACACAGATGTTTACAATGTATCCTAAAGCATATATTTTCTTAAAGGGATACTTTAGGCACCAAAACAACTTTAGCTTAATTAAGCGGTGTTGGTGTATTGATCATGCTCCTGCTGTCTCACTTAGCAGTTAAATCACTTTGTTCACGCACATGACAAACATTCTCTTTAGACATTTCCTGTAAAGAGAGATCTAATGTTTAAACTTCCTTTATTGCTCATTCTATTTAATCTAGAATTTCTCAAATCCTGTTCTGTTAATTGGCTATTAGAACCTGCAGGAGCCTCTAGTGTGTGATCAAAAACAGCATTTTGTTGTAGACTGTCATTCTGCATATCAAAATGCTTTTTCTTTTTGGTATAATTTGTCTTTAATATTGGAGAGTACTGGGGTAGAACCAGGCTTCCATGCAGAGCAGACGTGCTGTGCCTGAGCTCCTAATAGTTTTACTACATCTGAGGTGATATCCCTCGGTTAAAGAAAAGCTACGTCCAAGCAAGGGCACTGTCCAAGTCGGAGGGTTACTGCTGACAATCCTGAACGTCAAACGATGTTTCTACCCCGCCGGATACCGTGTCTCTCTGTTGTGGCCTACTGGGGACGGAGCTTGGGAGAGGCAGCCGATCTCACTCCTTAGACCCCAGTTTAGCTCAGCTATACTCCTACCAACACCCCACCTCTGGACCGGTGGAGGAAATCCCAGTCCCCACTGGACACATTGGAGCTAACTACCTTATCTACTCTGTACTCCACATGGAAATTAAGCAACACATAGCCTGCACTGGGTAATCAAGATGGCAACTGCCCTATCGTCCATCAAACAGGGCCTACAAGCACCCTGAAGGCATCAATGTCACTCAACTGACTTCATCTTGCAGCGCCTGGATGCAATATTCCAAAGCTTTTGGCAGATAGTAGAGGAGTGTACCCAAGCTTCTGTGACAGAACAGCGGAAGGTTGCACACATCAACAAGCCATCCGAACGGAGTGTGCCTCCTCAGGGGGACATTGCAAAGCAAGCTCCCAGTCACAAAGATGCCCGCCTACCGAAGCCAAGAGCTACTTGAGGCCTCCCCACCAAGCATCCACCACCGAAGCGGAGGAGCAACCGCAGAAAGTTGCACAGACCATCCAGACCGCCTGCTTGCTCCAGAGGGAAGATAGCCTTGGTACCTGAGGGGGTCCAGGCCTGCAGGCAGGGTATGCCAGCCCTCATACAAGTTTAGAGATGGAGGAAGCCCAGATATGCTGTGCTGCTAAAGCATACTTCCCGGCTGCTCCTGCACACGCATCAACCCTGCCGCTGGCAGGAATTGGATGATCCGGGGACTGCACCTATATTCCGAGTCTTGCTCAGGCAGCGGCAGCAGCTGCATACCCAGATGCCTTTGCATTGCTTTTTATGTTTTCAGTTTTCTGCTGTCGGATTTACATTATGTTTATTGTGTTCCCTTATATTTCAGACCTAGACAAACACTATTCCTAATGTGGCGTACCCCTGCATTAACGCTAGTGCGCCCCAGGGTCCAGTGGACTTACGCGTTAACTGTACCTCAAACGACCACATGTGCTCATATGATAACCTGCAATATCACCTCAATTTGATCTCAGTTTGTTTCCTGCATCATAACTCACTCCAGCTATACCTGCTAGTCGTTAAACTGACTGCAGGATTGAATAACTGAGCACACTGTTTTACTCAATCTTATTGGTTCCTACAGTTATTTAATATTCTGTTGACAGTGGTGCATATAATATGTAATAGTTTTAATAAGATGGTGACTGCTCAAATGTGCGCAATGCTCTTAATGTTTTTACTTTATTATAAAACAAAAAATGTGCTGTCTTATATGTACACTTCATCTATCTGACGGACCAACTACTGGCTATTTATTCATTGTATGACATACGTTGTTCCCATGCACAACAAAAAAATAAAGAATTTAAAAAAAAAATAAAAAAAATATCATGGCAGACACTATATAGCATAGAATAGACGACTGATCTGACAAGGTTTCCAGGTCAGTCCCACTTAGAATGAATGAAATGGCATTGTAAATCGGAATTCCTGCTTGGAGCTACGTGAGTGTGTTTGGTCACTTTCCAGGAAAAAGGTAGTCAACTTGTTCAATAATATATCTGATCCAGTGATACCGATACTGAATATATTACTTTCCAGACTATAACTATTTTTGGACATCAAGGAGGCAGATGGATCTAGTTTTAATACTGAAATAATATTGCAGAATACATCCTTTGTTCACCTTGGGTTAAGGGAGCTGAAGCCATTATGGTTATGACAACAATAGAGAAGCCAGTTTAATAAGTAACCTTGGTATTCCACACCAGGTGTTTCCCAGTCCATCTATAGATTGCATTTCTGTGGCAAATTTATAAGACTAGAACAATCAACATTCTGCTGGTTTCCATTGAGATTTCTTTCCATTTAAAGCTTTCCAATAACAGCTCTTCAAATATATGTGTTCTTTGATATACCTACACAAAAACCTCTTTTTCCTGTCCAGTGGGAATTCGTGAAATGTCTCCCAGAACATCCTCATTGTCGGGTGCATGGCTGAGTATTCACCTTTGTAGACTGCACTCTAAAAACAACACAAAAAAACGTGAAACATCAGATCCACTGATAGCACATTCGAGTCTCCAATAAACAATACTATTTACATCGCAACTAGAAAAAAACGACATTGTGGTGATTTGAGGTCATTTGACCTTTTTCCTTTTTATAGTTGTAATATTTGGATGAAGGGCCACCATCCTCGTTAAGAAGGTCACCAAAGCTGGAGCTGGATTATCTAGAGCTCTTCCCAAAATTTGTTTCGTGGTTGAGTAGGTACTGTTACCTATGCACTAACCTAGCTTAAAGGACTACTATAGGCACCCAGACCACTTCAGCTCAATGAAATGGTCTGGGTGCCAGGTCCCTAAACATGGGGTTAATCCAGCCTCTAGTGGCTGTCTCACTGACAGCCGCTAGAGGCGCTTCCGCGCTTCTCACTATGAAAATCACACTGAGAAGACGCTGACGTCCTAAGGAAAGCATTGAGAAATGCTTTCCTATGGACTGTTTGAATGCGCGCGCGGCTCTTGCCGCGCATACGCATTCGGCGCTGACGTCGGCAGAGGGAGGAGAGTTCCCCAGCGCCGAGGGATCCCGGCACTGGAGAAAGGTAAGTGTTTAACCCCCTCAGCCCCCTTGAGCCCAGCGGGAGTGGGACACTGAAGGTGGGGGCAACCTAAAGACCCTATAGTGCCAGGAAAACAAGTTTGTTTTCCTGGCACTATAGTGGTCCTTTAATTACATATAATCAAAATTAATTCTACAAAGTGCTCTGAAGCATACGCTATACATCTAATTGCATATCAAGCAAAACATTTACACAACCAATCACTTGCAGGCTGTCAGGGTACCTGTTGGTGATGTATCCAGGGAGGACATCCTCTCTGCTTAGGGGCTCCCTTCCCCTAGCATTTCGGCATATTCCGGCCGTTTTCGCGCCGGCCGCGCTAGCTCCTCCCCCTTTTATGACGCGACGGCTAGCGTCGACGTCATGACGTCGGCATTTGCATAAAGTGCCGGGAACCGCTATTCCGGACCTTTTGGGGGCGTGGTCTCTATTTAGGTCACAGGGTATTTAAAGGAAACCTTTACTACTGCTCATTGCCCTGTCGTGGTTCTAGCTTGCTAGTCACTCAGCGCGTTCTTTATCTTGTGTTTCCGGTTTTGACCCTTGCTTGTCTTTTGTCCTGTTGTCTTCTCCTCTCCTTTGACTCGGCTTGTATCTCGCTTACCTGTCCTCCGGCTCCCTTGACCTCGGCTTACCTTTTGACTATTCTTGCTTTGTCCTTACGTTAGTCCGGCCATTCTAAGGTCCGGTATACGTACCTCCTTCTGTGCGCACTCTGCGTATTGGATCCCTGTCAGTTTCCTGACATTACGACAGGGCCATGATGGATCCTGCAGGTGCTAGTCCTCCTGACCCCAGATTTGAGGCCATGGACCATAGAATGGACCAAATGGCTTTAGCATTACAAACTTTGTTGACACGCTCCAGTACCCAGTCTGAAGAAATACGTTCCACTGCTAGCCACTCGCTAAGTACTGGTTTGGAAGTAGCCACTGTAGGCGCATCTTCCCATGTCACGTCACCATTACGATATGGGGGTTCGCCTGATGCTTGTCGTGGTTTTTTAAACCAGATAAGTATACATTTCGAACTACAACCCCGGGCTTACCCCACTGACAGGGCTAAGGTAGGCTTTATCATAACCCTGCTAATAGATAAAGCACTTAGATGGGCCAATCCCCTTTGGGAGAATGACAATCCTTTAGTCTACAACTACACTGCGTTTGTCACGGCTTTTAGAAGAACCTTTGACCCCCCAGGGAGGAAGATTAATGCGGCCAGATCCCTGTTACGCCTTAAACAACAAGATAGGACCCTTGTAGAATATGCTCTAGAGTTTAGATCATTGGCAGCAGAAGTGAAATGGAACGAACAAGCTTTTATGGATGTTTTCTTGAATGGGTTGTCTGATGAAATTCTAGATGAAATTGCCACAAGAGAACTTCCGGAAAATTTAGAGGATTTAGTATCCTTCATTTCCAGAATAGATGAACGCATGAGACAGAGGCAGAACACTCGGGAAAGAGTTACTAGACTTCCTGTAAGACTCGCTCCCTCATTTCAGAACCCTGACTCCTATAATCCTACTCCACCAGAACCTATGCAAATAGGTAATACTCGCTTATCTGAGGCTGAGAGACAGTACAGGAGAAGGGAGGGTCTCTGTTTATACTGCGGGCTGAGAGGTCACCTACGTCTTAGTTGCCCTAATCGTCCGGGAAACGCTTGCACCTAAGTTCCCTTAGAGGACGGGCCTTGGGTGTTTCATTACTGTCCTCTATGCATAATAAAAAAGACCATAGGCTTCTGATTCCTGTCTCTCTAGCTTGGGAAAAGGGGTTTATTGCTACGATGGCATTATTAGATTCTGGAGCAGCAGAAAGCTTTATAGACCAAACTTTTGCTAATAAGCATTGTATCCCATTCCAATTGAGAGATACACCCTTGGCCGTTGAGGCCATAGATGGTAGAACTTTATCTGAACCAGTAATATTCCATGAGACCGAACCCGTTAAGCTTACTGTTGGTATTTTCCACGAAGAGTTGATTTCCCTTCTGTTAATTTCCTCCCCGGCAGTCCCAGTGGTTCTAGGATATTCTTGGCTCAAGAGACACAACCCTCAGATTGACTGGGAGGGTGGAGAAATCGTTTCTTGGGGTATGGGTTGTAGGAAAGAATGTCTGCAGAGAGTTACTTCTGTTTGCCCCGTAAACTCTTATGCTAACACTTCTCAATCCACAGACGTTCAGATACCATTACAATATCTAGACCTCAAATCTGTATTTGACAAGGGTAAGGCGGATACTTTACCTCCCCACCGGTCTTATGACTGTTCTATTAAACTTTTCCCTGGTACTATGCCTCCCAGGGGTACGGTATACCCTCTATCCACCAAGGAAAACTTAGTTTTAGAGGAATATATCAAGGAGAATTTAGACAAGGGATTTATTAGAAAGTCTTCTTCTCCGGCGGGGGCGGGTTTCTTTTTTGTAGAAAAGAAAGACGGTACCTTACGTCCTTGTATAGACTATCGGGGATTGAACAAAATTACTATCAGAAATGCTTACCCTATTCCTTTGATTACTGAACTCTTTGACAGACTAAAGGGCTCGAGTATTTTTACTAAACTTGACTTAAGAGGAGCATATAACTTAGTGCGAATTAAACAAGGAGATGAATGGATGACAGCATTTAATACCCGTTACGGGCATTATGAGTATACCGTAATGCCATTTGGGCTCTGTAACGCCCCGGCCGTCTTCCAAGACTTGATCAATGAAGTTCTTAGAGAATTCCAACATGAATGTGTAATTGTATATTTGGATGATATACTAATCCATTCTAGAGATATTAATTCACATCATAGACAAGTCAGAAAGGTATTACAGAAACTTTTACAACATGGATTGTATTGTAAATTGGAAAAATGTAGCTTTGACCAGTCTCAGGTAACTTTCTTAGGTTACGTAATTTCCAAAGACGGGTTTATGATGGACCCGACCAAACTAAAATCGATTTTAGATTGGCCTTTACCTAAGGGACTCAAAGCCATACAAAGATTTCTTGGATTTTCGAATTATTACAGACATTTTATTAAAGGGTACTCCTCTGTTATCGCTCCTATCACTAATATGACCAAACAAGGAGCCGATACCAAGACCTGGTCTACTGAGGCTTTATCTGCTTTCGAAACGCTCAAACAGTCTTTTGCCTCAGCACCTGTATTAGTTCATCCTGATACCTCTCTACCCTTTTTACTTGAAGTTGATGCGTCTGAAACAGGGATAGGCGCAGTGTTATCCCAACGACAAAGTTTAGATAAGCCGCTGCACCCATGCGGTTTTTTTTTCCAAGAAACTATCACACACTGAAAGGAGATATGACATTGGTGATAGGGAACTTTTAGCTATCATTATGGCATTAAAGGAATGGAGACATTTGTTAGAGGGCACCGTCCTTCCAGTTACTATCTTGACTGACCACAAAAATTTATCGTATATGGGGGAGGCCAAAAGATTATCTGCCAGGCAGGCACGTTGGTCTATGTTCCTTACACACTTTAATTATGTGCTTACTTACAGGCCTGGTTCTAAGAACACTAAGGCAGACGCTTTGTCACGTCAGCACGAACCTACCACCTCTACAGAGGATACTTTGTTTCCTATTATTCCTGAAGTCAATATTATCGCCAACACCAATGTTAAAATACACTCTCCACTGCTCGTTGATATTCAGAACGAACAATCTCTTGCTCCCGAACGTACTCCTGTGGGCCGCTTGTTCGTATCTCCCAAATTCCAGGTGGACATTATTCGCTGTTTCCACGATAGCAAGATCGCTGGTCACCCCGGCATCCACAAAACTTACTGTCTGATCTCCAAAGACTTCTGGTGGCCCGGTTTACGTAGGGATGTGGAAGACTTTGTCAAGGCTTGCAATGTTTGTGTCAGGAATAAACTTCCGCGGGATCTCCCTTGTGGTTTATTGCAGCCCTTAGTCGTTCCCAACAAACCTTGGGCTTGTTTGGCTATGGATTTTATTGTTGATCTACCAGCTTCCAATAGGCATACAGTTATCCTCACGGTCCTTGACAGGTTTACTAAAATGGCTCATTTCGTTCCCTTGCCTAAACTTCCGTCCTCCCCGAACTGGCCGTGATATTTGCTAGAGAAATTTTCCGTTTACATGGTATTCCCAATGAGATTGTGTCAGACAGGGGTTCCCAATTTATTTCCCGTTTTTGGAGATCCTTCTGTTCACAGTTGGGCATCAAACTGAATTTTTCTTCGGCCTATCATCCTCAATCTAACGGAGCAGCCGAACGCACTAACCAAAAAATTGAGCAATATCTACGTTGTTTTGTTTCTGAACACCAGGATGACTGGGTCGGTCTGATTCCTTGGGCGGAGTTTGCTCACAACAACCTTGTTTGTGGTTCCACTCGTAATAGCCCCTTTTTCTTGAACTATGGCTTTAACCCTACTGTTCTTCCGTCGGTGTCTCCTTCCCAGGGTATACCGTCGGTTGATATTCATATAGCCAACCTGAGAAAGTTGTGGGATCAGACTCGACAAATTCTTGAACGTAGTTCCGCGGTGTTTAAGTCACATGCTGATAGGCGTAGACGTCCTGCTCCTATTTTTTCTCCGGGGGATAGGGTCTGGTTGTGTACCAGACACATTCGCCTGAAAGTTCCTTCCTTGAAGTTTGCTCCTCGTTACATTGGTCCTTACAGGGTACTGAGGAGGATCAACCCGGTTTCTTATTTGCTGGATCTACCTCCTACTCTACGCATCCCTAACTCTTTTCATGTGTCGTTATTGAAACCTCTTGTTTGTAACAGATTTTCCTCCCGCTCTGCTCCTCCATCCTCGGTCCGTGTGGATGGTCAGGAGGAATATATCATCAAGTCCATCCTTGATTCTCGTATTTCTAGGGGGAAGCTGCAATACCTCATAGACTGGAAGGGTTATGGTCCAGAAGAGAGGTCTTGGGTTCCTGGTATAGACGTGCATGCTCCTCGTCTTCTACGGGCCTTCCACGTTCGTTTTCCTTCTAAGCCAGGTCCCATCCGCCCGGTGGGCGTTTCTAGAAGGGGGGGTACTGTCAGGGTACCTGTTGGTGATGTATCCAGGGAGGACATCCTCTCTGCTTAGGGGCTCCCTTCCCCTAGTATTTCGGCCGTTTTCGCGCCGGCCGCGCTAGCTCCTCCCCCTTTTATGACGCGACGGCTAGCGTCGACGTCATGACGTCGGCATTTGCATAAAGTGCCGGGAACCGCTATTCCGGACCTTTTGGGGGCGTGGTCTCTATTTAGGTAACAGGGTATTTAAAGGAAACCTTTACTACTGCTCATTGCCCTGTCGTGGTTCTAGCTTGCTAGTCACTCAGCGCGTTCTTTATCTTGTGTTTCCGGTTTTGACCCTTGCTTGTCTTTTGTCCTGTTGTCCTCTCCTCTCCTTTGACTCGGCTTGTATCTCGCTTACCTGTCCTCCGGCTCCCTTGACCTCGGCTTACCTTTTGACTATTCTTGCTTTGTCCTTACGTTAGTCCGGCCATTCTAAGGTCCGGTATACGTACCTCCTTCTGTGCGCACTCTGCGTATTGGATCCCTGTCAGTTTCCTGACACAGGCAACATGTGGCAGGTCCCACCATTAACCACAAACTGGCTAGTCTTTAGTCCGTTCTGCAGACACCACTGATATCTCTGTCATTTTGTGTGCCTGCAGAAGTGACTAATGTCACTTACTGACACCTATTTGTGTGCAGGAAGCAAAGACCTCTTACAGTTCCATTCATTGGATATTTAATTTATATCGACTAACTGCAGACATGCAAACCAGGTATGTTATTAAAAAGAAGAACTCTGAACCCATCCTACACAACATTGTTCTCTTTATCAAGAGTGCAAAATTCTAACAAAAATTCACGACAATGTGAGGAGACTTGTCTCTTTACATTTTTAATTTTCATTTTCCCATCCATGGAATCCTACGCATTCAGATCAAATGCACTTGGGGAGATCAATTTACTACCACAAAATCAAAATGACATTCTGTAGAGAGGTAAATTCACACAAAAGTCACCAAATCTAAGATAAGCTATACTATAAAAAAAGTTGTCTGAGCCAGTAACAAGGTTTAAACTTTTGTTTGGCGCCCAACTTAAAAAAAATGATACATAGCATCAGTACCACCACCACTTCTGTACCACTACCACCACTTTAGTACCACCTGTCTGCTCCTTCAGGGTCTTCCAACATTGCTAATTCCATTATAGACTTTAACAAGAAAATATTACACAGAACAACTAAACAACAAATACACATCTACAATATACCCAGCATACACTCATATTCATTTCGATTTTGAACAGGTTAATAAAACATATTACCTATATGCTATCATCAGCACATGCTCTAGAACAGGGGTAGGAGACCTTCAGCAGTCCAGGTGTTGTGGTGGACTACAGCATTATGGGAGAAAAAACAGCATTGCCAAAGGTTGTCTACTTCTGCTCTAGAACATGCCATGTAATTGGCCTTGTTATGCTTACCTCTTCCAACTCCTGCCAGTTGTAATTACTGCTCCCGACTACCATAGCCCTGAGTTCAGATGGCTGGAAAAGTTCCAGTACTTTACTGCCGCACACCTTCAGGAAGCCTGTAGAGAATGCCTCGTACCATTCCTGCACGGACTGGTTAAAAACGTAGTTAACATAGGCATTGACAAATTCTTCCCTGTAATATCAATCACAAACAAAGAGAGAATAGTATGGATATGTAAACATAAACATATATTATATATCTACCACCCATTCATATATCCACTCTGCTCAATTAAAAACAAATCTTACATTTTATGTGAAGGTGAAAAGGATTTAAACAGTTTTAATAGTTTTTCATAGTAAGTAACCTACTGTTCTGTGCTGTAAGGAGATTAGCAATTGTACAGTGTATATTTCCAATTTCCATATAGTCTAGAGTGCAGCCACAATAATAGTGACTTTTAACATTTCCTTCGATACTAGAAACGGAGAAGAGCTATACTATACCGGCAATGCAGCAATATTTAGATTTAGCCAGTTACAAAAGGCGTGATGACACAATACTGCAATATTTTATTGAATTTATCATGTAGCCTAAATTTACCCCCCAGGAATTAAAGGTGGTGATGGCAGAATGATTTCCTGCTGGTTGGGCTAGAGCAGAGAATCCCAGAAGCTGAAGGAGCTGCTGTGACAGTGTGGGATGAATTGAACTTGTCAGCTTATGTCTTGTCAAATTAAATTACCCTTTACATGTTGGAGGTACTTTTACCACAGTCTAGCAACACCTCATAACAATCTGTGATAGTGCGGCAAAACAGCTTCAGGTTTTTAGCTTGAAAAATACCTGTTGTCTTTCTTCACAGTTATCTGGTCTCCTCCAGGCACTAACAACTTTGTTTCAGTCAAACCATAGCTCTCTCTGCATATCTAAAAAAAACAGAACAAAAATTAAGAAACAGGAAAATGCTTTTTTTTTTCTTCTTTGTTTTGAAAGATTGACACTATTTTAAAAGAGTAATGGGTCGCAACAGGCGTTTGAGTGAGAAATATATAAAGAATAACAGTACCGCATGCCGCACAGTGCTTGCTATCCTAACGATGGAGCATTGGAGGCATACAGGCCGTAACCAAAAAGCTCACTTACAAATGGCAGCAAGGCTGTGAATTGCTAGGAATTGAAAGTGAATTTAACTTTTGCGCCAGAATAGTCCAACTGAAATCTTAGCTGACGTGGATGATTTTTTTTCCATTGGCTATTGTGGCCTACAATATGAAATTCATTATTAATTCCTTACTATTCACTCTTTACTGTACACCCAATAAGTTATCATTGAAGTGAGCCATGTTTCTATTATCCTTAAAAAATTGTACTTAAGCAAAGTGAATTGAATTAGATTTCCTTACTGTGAAGTTAAGGCAGAACGTTTCCTCTATATCGTCCCCGGGGTAGTCCAGGAGTTGTTGAAGGCTCCTACAGTAAAATGTTACAAAAGGAGTATCATGACATTGTCAATTATTATTATTATTATGATATTTATAGAGCGCTGTCAAATTCCGCAACGCTTTACAATGGGTGGACGAACAGACATGTAGTTGTAACCAGACAAGTTGGACACACAGGAACAGAGGGGTTGAGGGCCCTGCTCAATGAGCTTACATGCTAGAGGGAGTGGCATACAGATGACATGCAGATCTGCTTGGTGATAGTAGCGCTCTCTGAGAGGGGAGAGCAATGGGATTTAGACAGACATCTAACCAAGCCAAACAATCCACGGCACTGATGCTGAATACTAAAACCTGGAAATTACTACCGTTCGTTCTCAAAAGTGAACCCAGTTTAATGAATCAGATTCAGCGCTGTACTAGGGAAATGTATTAAAAATATTTTTTTAAAGTACCTGTAAGTTTTATCCAAGACAATTAAGAGTACATGCAATCCACTTTAATGTTGCACTTATTTAGTGGCTAATATCTACTATATAGACATTATATCATATACTTTACACACGTTCGGTTCTACGTGTGTAACTGTATTTCTTTGGCTCTACTCTGTTTCACGCAGAAAGCATGTTTGCCCATTTTCCTTGCTTTATTAACTCTGTTCGCCTTATTTGTGCATCTTGAAAAAAGTCAACACTCTGAATAAAATTTACTATTGTACAAAGACTCCTGAATGCTCTCATTCAACCAATTGTACATTATGGCCAGAGATTTCACAGGGGCAGAAAATGCTGGAGCAAATTAAGTGCAGGGCCCAAGGCAGATATAAGACTATTTCTAAATGGGTTTTGTAGATGACAGATAAATGATCATATTAAGTAGTTGTATAATTATAAACATGTAGGGGTTTATTTACTAAACAGGAAATTGTGAACAAACAAACTGATAAATTTTGCAAAACAGTCCAGCTGTGAATATAGCAGAGTTGGATAATTTTTTCCAATTTAGATATCTATAAATACCAATCAGTTTTTAATTTACTACAATTATTTAGTATATAAACCTTTTGACATGTTTGATCTTTAGGCAAGAGAATTGCTACTCAATAGTGGAAAGTGGAGGCTGGTCCATAGGCAAATATGTATAATAAATACCTTTCTTATATTAACACTAGCCAAGTACTAATATTACCAAATGACTACACATATTAAAGAAATAATAACACTGAATAAGGTATCTGTAACTTTACACAGCCAGTCTTTGATACATTGAAAGGAAGCCATGAAACAAAATAGTGACATTAACATTTAAAAAAAAATTGAATATAGCAATCTTTGATCTGCCTCACTCACATGATATGGACCCATGGAAAACGTAATAAGCTCCATGGAAAACGTAATGGGCCATAGGAATAACCAATACATTTGATTCAAAATTTAGTGATAAAATCTCAATAAAGAAATATGTTGTCGGTCATTCTGTTAATTCGTTGCAGCAAAGAGCCTGAACATTGCTCTGTATCATGTAAGTGAGCGAGACAAAATAGTTACAAAGTGTTCTGAAAGCTTACAATGATTTAACACTGGAAAAGTGCTTCTATGGTTTTGTTGTTTAGTAATAAACAATGTATTCCCATCCACTGAATATTGGCTATATTTAAAGATACAGTCAAAGGTTTATTCACTATTATCTCTTTGAAATGCCTGGTTGGTTTACTGGTATACAGATCCATTCTGCTTTCATGTGTAGATTTACCTTCCTTCTGTTGGGGACAGCTCCTTAAGGTCTTCTAAGGTGGCTGGAACATTCAGTAACTTTTTATACATCACCAAAGGGAAGTGAAGATCTACCACAGTGAAGTTATAAATCGCTAGTCCACACATAATGCCAATCAGATGAAACCAGTTATGCTCTACAAAACACTATTGAGACAAAAGTTATAAAGTGGTTACTAGGCTGCATATCGACTGCAGCTGGTAAAACAGTTAATGCAGTTTTCTATCAGTAGCCTAAAATGTTAAAGCTGTAAAGGACAGTGCTCTGTAGGATAGGCATTTTATCATCATATACTTACTATGTCTGAAAACCAGAGCAGGTTGGAATCTTGGAATACTGTGAACATTCCGTAGATGGGATTCAGAAGTTCTTTAAGAAGCAAAAGGAAGAATTCCTTGGTGACGCCTCCATCATCCACAGCCTCTTCTCCATCAAATATAACCTAGAAGAAGATTAAGATTTATTTCATTTGTGACAGCCAAAAAAAGTCGTTTGCATCCATTTTACTTATTTATGCATTTACTTTTCAGAAAAAAGCAAAAACAGATAAATAAAGTCTGCTGCTTGTTTTATATCCTTTTTTTTATTAGGAGTTTAAGGAAATTTTTGTCCATTAATAGTTCAGATTTCACATTTTTTGAGAATCCTTAATATAAAAAGCACCAATATAACTAATGCATTGATAGATTTTGGCCTGAATAATCCTTAATGCACAAAATATTTAGCAGTGTCCAGCATTTTAACCCTGCATAGTCTTCCCAGCAGCCTTCATTCTAAAATACTGTATGTAAACAATTGAATCAATGGATCAAGTTACGGGAAAGCCATCATTGTAACTTGTGTTCTAACTGTAGCAATGAATGTAATCTAACTGCTCACATAGATTGAACATTCTAGATCATTATTATTTACCATTTAAGTAGATTCAATGAACTGACAAAGACAAAGAGGACTGCTTCCTACCTTTAGAGGCTTCTTCAAGTCCACGTCGGAGTGAATACTCAGTTCCCTTAAAGCATCAGCCACCAAGCTTGATCTGCGCACATGCAAGACTAAGAATGGGTTCTTGGCCAGCATAGGCTCCAGAGTAAGTAGCATGAAGACATTCTGCAGGTTAGCTCCATTAATAGCTACCTATAGGTAGAAGGAAGGCACACAGTAGAGGTCATGATTCCCCCTATCCTTTAATTTTTCTGTAACTAATTTTAAACTTTAGGCACTTTTTAGGTTAAACAATAGCTAGAGGAGACAAAGCACCGGGAAAAAATATCACAATGACTAAATGCAATCCCCCCCAAAAAAATGAAATTAAAAAACTACCAAATGAGCGGTCCTGTCAACGTGTGGCTGTTGGATTGCAATACCCATCCATGCCACTAGGTGGCACGCCAGCACAACAGTTAAGAAAGCAAATAAAAGTGTATGCATTTATTGCATGCACACTTTTTGGTCCACTAAGTCTGGGTTGAGAACCACTGACCTAGATTGTCAGCATGTGTGAAATTATTCTAGGATTACAATTAATAATCACTTGGGTCTTTAGCATACAAATGTGCTCCATCTCAACAGCCTATTGTTAAAGGTGGCTGATCTGTAATGGTTATCCATTCATGGGTATAAAACATCTTATATAGTTTATACCAAGATCTGGTGAGCCAGAGGATGGTTAGATCTTTATACCTGCATCTGTAGCTCGGCATCCGTCTGCAACATCTTGGTCTTTGCTGGGGCATCAAACACAAATGGGTAAGAACAGAGAGTCACGGAATCCTGTGAAAAGATTCCATTCCTGTGTCAATGTCCACTAATAATGAAAACAGAGTTACGGAAACATAATGGAAGGGAAATTACCTGCATAATGGATGGATGAACTTTCTATACAAAATGAGAAAAAGAAGAAATTAAATAAAAAGCTTAAATGATTTGCCATATAAAATTTCAGTATATTATCCAAATTAACATGAAAGATACATGCAATACAACATGTAAAGTCAGTCTACCATTTAATTCCATTAATAATTCAAACAGAAAACATGCATATATGTTGTGTTCTCAGCTATTCGATTACTCAATAATTCCAAGAGAATTTAATGTCAAAAAAGCCAAACTGGTAAAATGTCACTTTGAATTCTCACTTCAATAAATAATCCTGAATGTGGTAGAGGCATGAGTATTTCTGCTTAGTCTCTTGGGGCAAAAATAGTGGCATTTTTACCAATATCGCAAGTTGGAAAACACACATCTAACATTTTTAACATATGCTGCTCTTTTTACAGTACACGAACGGTATTATTTACAGCTTCAAATCCGAGCCCAGGTTAAAAATATCTAACTATTTGCCCCTGGCTGCTAGTGCTGCCTGTTGGCAAATAGTTGAAACACCCTCTGCAATATGAAGGTTAATTATGTTGTTACATTGGAAAGGTTAAAGGATCTTAACATGTATAGCTTGGAGGAAAGACGAGACGGGGGGATATGATAGAAACATTTAAATATATAAAGCGAATCAACTCAGTAAAGGAGGAGACTATATTTAAAAGAAGAAAAACTAGTGACTGGAAAATTCCCACAGTAAGTCTCGAAAATAAGGAGACTTGCCTATCAGAGAGTTATGATTGTTGGCACTCTACTGAGAATTCCAATCATGGGAGAGCCTTTATAAAGGATTTTCCGTCTTTGAAGTCTCATTCTGCGTAGATCCCTCACAGATCGAAGACAGAATTACTTTTCTGTGTTGCGGTTTTATGGACTAGAGCCTTTTTAGTGCCTATGCTTTTAAATATTTAGTTTATATGCCTTCACCTGCAGCATGGCAGGAAGGGCATAGAAAGGTTTAAAATCTCCCTTTTAATGATATGAGGGTCTTACTGACCCCACAGGTCTTTTTATTTATTTTTAAAGTAGCAGTTGACTAGCAAGCGCTGCCCAACAGCCGCATAATTAACCCTTGCATTACCAAGGGATTTTAACTATTTGCCTGTGAATAGTACTTCAAATGAGCAATTCAAAAAGAAATACGAGCTCCACTAGGGTACATAAATGGCCATAATCAAGGGACCCCTTGTGACGAAGTGCCCTTCGCCCCTTGTGCCTGGAGAGGACTAATTGCCAGCCTCCTGCCCTGTGACTATGGCCCCTGGAGGATTTTGCCCTTTAAATACGTTATTTGGGCATAGTGGATTTTATTAGACTGGTTCTGGCCCTTTAAATGCTCTGACAAAGGATCTGCAGTTTTGCTATGCACTTCGGATGCAGAGTGTGAAGAAAAACCCTGTTTTATGGACTTCGTTTGACTGTTTTATTCCCCCCCCCCTTAGAACACCAGTTTAAACCCTTAATAACTGTCATATTTCCAAACTCTGTCTGTCTTTAACTGTCAGTTTGTTTTCTTCTGAGGAGGAGTTGTTTTGCTGCATGAGTGCTGTTGCTTGGTGTGCTCATTAAACAGACCGGCTTGACCCTTTCTTGAAGCCTTGGCTCATGCTTGGGGGATGGGATAAGTCTGCAGTGCTGATGGTGTCGGTTGGAGTGCTTGGAGTGCTCGGCAAGGACTAGGAGCATCGATTGGCGGAGGTACTCGGTTGGAGTGCCAACGGGTCCGTCACACCCCTATTATATGAGCCTAACCCAAGAAATAATTAAAATATAAAGGTTCTGTACAAGGGAGCACTATACTAAACAGGAATCCCTGCACACAAATACACAATAATAAATACTTTATTCAGTATTTATATAAACACAGTTAAAAGTATGTGAATAATGAAAGCCCTTCGAAAATACTGCCCAGCAGAAATTCCCATGCAGAGTTCCCAATTCTGCTTCAGACATGTAGTGGCAAAACGTGCGGACATTAGCTTTATGTTGACAATGGAACAGAGATAGTTATTATTTACTAGTTTTTTCGGTCCGGTTTCTTTTTGATACATTACATTTGTTACATTGTCCTAGCACTATCTGTTGGTGATCCTTAAAAGGACACTATAGTCATCAACACAACTGTAGCTTAATGAAGCAGTTTTTGTGTATACATCATGCCCTTGCAGCCTCACTATTCAATCCTCTGCCATTAAGGGGTTAAATCACTCATTCATACAGCCCTGGTCACACCTCCCTGCATGTGACTGCCAGCGTCATCTAATATTTACACTTCCTTTACTGCAAATTCTTTTTAATTTAGAATTTCTTATCCTGCTCTGCCAATAACTTGTTAGACTCTGCAGGAGCCTCCTGTATGTCATTAAAGTTTTATATACAAAAACTGCTCCATTAAGCTAAAGTTGTTTTTGTGACTATAGTGTCCCTTTAACAGACTCAGATTATCTCTCCGCCTTGAATTGTATGACTTTAATTTAAACACAGGAATTCCTAATAACTAATTGACTGGGGCCTCTGACATCTGTTTCCTTCCAGCAGATGATGTAGAGATAAATATCTATCTGCCTTGTAGTTTCACTGCATGAAATTGGTGGTTCAGTATTCACTGGATCCCCTTTTTGAACTCTTTGGGGGAATGTTTTTTCTTCTCTCTGTCCTACCTACTGTTCAGTATTTTTTAAAGGTTTTCTTTATTCCCATATTTTTAACTGTGTTAAATTTTGCTCATATAAATACTGAATAAAGTACTTATTATTGTGTATTTGTATGCATGGATTCCTTTCTAGTCCTCCCTTGTTGAGAGCCTTTATGTTTAAAATGATCAATTCCCTTGTAAAAAAATAAATAAAAAGCAAGTGAACAATAATAATAATATGCGAATGTGCATTCTGCCAGATGCATTTGGTTCTGAATTTTATTAATAACGGTGCTCTATGAGTCTTCCAAATCCTGTACTTTCTATAGGGTTCAGATGCGAAAACACCGATTTTAATCCGGACTGAATGCATCCAGGCAATGGCGGAAGATTTGCTCAGTCTGACCAAATCCCAACAGCAAATGGCTTTAGCAAATATAAGAATTGGTATTGCGTTTGAAATTTGGTCATTTTGACCGGATTTTGTCCATCTTGACAAGATACAATATTTAGTATATAACCCTGTAAAGTGAGAATTCAAAGTGATTTTAAAATTTAAGACTGAAAGCATAGTTGACTTAGACAGTTGTCCTAGTTTGGCTATTGTGACCAGTTTGGATTCTCACTTTAATGAAAAAATATAACCAGCATCCAATACAACAGATAATAATAATACAAAAATACTGAGACACTGTGTAAAAAAACACAACACAACATATAGACATGTGAATGTTCTTTTGCAGAATTACTTTTAGGCAGCAGGTCATTTTCAGAAAGAGAAGAGGGCAAATGCTCACACATATGGAGCAAAGGAATATCATTTACTCACCATCAATTCAATTTCTCTAGAATCTAATTAAAGTTCAGAGACTGGGGCAGAGGATACGATTTAAAATATATGTATTAACTAAACAAGTAGATTTATGTTAACGACAAAGTGGCAAAATTCAGGCCAACACAGACAATCTCAGTCTTGGTTTACAAGATAAGATCTTTCCAAATCAGTTATTTTGACATAAGTTTATACGCCGTATGTTAGCTCAGTGCACTCACTGTTCCATAATAAACACCTTTACGATCTCAACAAAGGTTTTATGTCTGTCATATATATTCCTCTCATTATTTTATTTTTTATTGGCAACTGCACAGTAACACTACTGCAGCTTTAGTCTCCACAAGCTGGAAACCCGTACAAACCTCTAAGTCAAGCATATCAAACTAAGTAAATCCGCAATGAATATTTGTATTATTTTAATGTATTAAATTGGGGGAGGGAGTAGGAAGTGTATTAGAGTGGTGGCAAGAGGAGGCAGTGTATTAATTTGAGTGAGGGAGTGGGCAGTGTATTAGAGTGGTGGGAGGGAGAGGCAGTGTATTAGAGTGGTGGGAGTGTGTTAAATTCTGGGAGGGCAGTGTATTAGAGTGGTGGGAAGGGGGGCAGTGTATTAATTTGGGGGAGGGAGGGCAGTATATTAATAAATTCAGTCTTTTGTTTACTTTGTAGCCCTACGAGTGTGAGGACGCCCAGTGTCCGTTGGGCAAATTTTTAGACTGTACTTTACGAAATACACCTATGCTTCTATGAAATCTGAAGATTATTTGGCCCGTTTTAGACTTTGAGTTTGACATGCTTGCTCTAAGCTAACCGTAAATGTAACACAGTGGGAAACACAATGCACCCAGCAGAACGGAGTGAGAAAATGATTAACAATATGAGAAATCAGGACTCGTGGGACCTCACAGTCTCACTGGAGAACAGTGAAGGCTGAGTTATTACTGGGTGTTTTAAATAATTGTTACAATGGAACATCTAGTATTGAAAATAATAAAGTGGTTCTTGTTTTAAAATGCATTATCGGTCCTTTGCGTCTGGTTTTCAGGTTGTTTTACTTATGTTTATTAAAAGAGCAATAATCTGTGTCACTATTTTTCAAAAACTGAGCATTGTAACTGGCAAAATGTCAGGTAGTATATAGCTCCAGGGGCCAGTCATCATTTCTAGATTGTATTTTATAATAACACAGCGGTCAGGGGTATATACTAGAACGGTTCTGAAGAGATTCCATCCAACTAGAGAGAGCGCCATGTGATATCTTACCAGTCCTGCTTGGTTTAAGAACCACATGAGATAATCTTCTTGAATGTCCACTAAGGAGGAGATCTCTGGGATGTAAAATTTATCATGCTCCACATGTCGTACCTTCACGTTCACCTGGAATGAGAGAGAGAGAGATCTTTGGATTACTTTAGCTACAGCAATAATTGCAATCGTGGGGTGAAATGAAAACAAAACAAAATTGCAAATTAAAATAAAAAATCAAGTTGAGAATTTTCGAATTCAGCAACTTTGGGCTACAACTAGCTTTTCAATGCACTACTACTCACTGCTAAAATATAATTTACTTAAGAAGATATTTAAGTATTAAAAAAACACATCTCTCTTAACAGGCATATTTCTACTCTGAAATATGATACAAGAATGCAGTTACCATCAGTTTATTTGATTAATGTTTTTTTATGTTTCCATATAAGGTTTGAACACAAACATGCTGAGATCATCAGAACATGCCTAAAAATACCTTGTGCAGTTTCTCTAGAAGTCTCAGTGCAGCGGTGATATAGCTGGTAAACAGTACTGGGATCAACAGCGTCTTCTTTGAATTTAGTAGATAAACTACTGTACCTTTATACAGGTCTACTAATCTGAAGAAGTAGTTGGGAGAAGTCTGAGACCACCAGTTATCTGAAAGAACACATATATTGTTAAAAAAAAAAGAAGAAAAAAAAAAAAGATTTTGCCAATTTTTTGCAGACTCAGTGAGACAAATATATACTAAAAGGGGATATTATGTGTTTGCTCACTTACAAACAATTCTCAATGTTAGAAAGGATATGTCACTTGGGAATTTTCAATAACACAATTTTAAAGGGACACTCCAGGCACCCAGACCACTTCTGCCCTTTGGAGTGGTCTGGGTGCCAACTCCCACTATTCTTAACCCGGCAACTGTAATTATTGAAGTTTTTTATAAACTGCAATAATTACCTTGAAGGGTTAACTCCACCTCTAGAGGCACGTCCCGGTTTCTAGCACAGGAAACCTGTGCTAGAGCATCGCTGGACATCTTCACGCTATGTGAGGACCTCCAGCGTCGCTCATCTCCCCATAGGAAAGCATTGAAATGCATTTTCAATGCTTTCCTATGGGGAACACTAATGCAGAGGAGGAGTGGCGGCGGAGGAGGAAGCAGCGATGAGGGACATCGTCGCTGCCTCAGGTAAGTTACTTAAGGGGTTTTCACCCCTTCAGCAACCGGGGGTGGGTGGGAGGGAGAGGGGACCTGCAGTGCCAGGAAAACGGATTGTTTAATGAAAAAGTGACTTAAGTTGCAAGTTAAACATATAAATATACTTGTAGAAAATGGCAAACAAGGAAAAGCCAAAATAGCAATGTAATGGTAAAATCGATATTTATGCATACTTATCAAAATTAGTTTTTAAAAGGCTGAACAGTGCATATTTGGCCACAATTCAAATTACTCTACTTGAAATTTGGGCATTTTCACACATGTATATAGTAAATGGACCAAGAATATGGTTATATTGTTTGATTAAAGTTCTTAATGTACATTCTATATAAAGCAGCCTTATTATATAAAGTCATTGCAGCAGACAATGTAAGGCTGGGGGCATTTATACTGTAAGCTAAACTAGTACTTTGGAATCCAGAACAATGGCAAAACAATATATATGATTAATGCTGGATTAATGAGACTGTTAAAAACCCTGATATTTCTCCCTTACTGAATCACCACAGCAAAGCAATGGATTATGATAGTACTAGTTAAATGTCAACAGTCAGCTACCACACTAAAAAGGTGCTTTGTACTCTGTTGGCTAAATTCTTTTTTTATATTTATATATAATATTTGTATTTTAAGATTTTTAATAAAAAATTGTGAAGTAAAAATATATATATATTATATATATATATATATATATATATATATATACACACACATATATATATAATTTTTAATTCACAATTTTATTAAAAATCTTAAAATACAAAGTCATTGAATTTAGATACATGCTTATTAAAAAAGGGTATATTTGGCTACACTTGTACCTGATTAATTATATAATGCATGAATATTAAAATACATATAATTAAACATTACCAGTAGACATACATAACATTGGACATATCCACATATCATTTCGAATGTATGTAATTTGGTTTGTCCCACCATTACATGTGCTAGTACAAAACATAAGACATCACAAACATAACAAAAAATTTAAATGAAATGAATCTTGATCGAAGGGATTTGAGAGGGGAGGGGAGAAGGTCTGAGTGCATTGTCTAGACTTCCCTAAGATTTTTATATTGTTATATTATACCATATTAATTGATCTTATTGATTCATCCCAGAAACCGTTATAGCCAAGTAGTTTATTGTAAGGAGTCAAAATATATTTTTCCATATTGATTTGATGACATAGTTGATGTCTGATCAGACACCAATATTCACAGTACTGAGCTGCACCATGTTTTAAAAGAAATTAGCATATCAAGATCTCCATTTCGATATTGCTGAAGGGTAATGTTTCTTTTCCATATTATATCATAAAAGGTTTGTTTTAGAAAGTAATTTTTTAGTATCCTTGACATTAATAATTTTTTCAATAATTTGTACGGTTTTCTTGTTCATTAGGAAATTTTAACCTTTTCATTATATATGATCTTACTTTTAAATAGTCAAAGAAATCCTTGTTCGTAAGTCCCAATAACATTTTTATATAACTAGGTTTTCATTTTTCAATTATATAATTCTTGTGTTTTTTTAATTATACGGTCTTTTAAATAAACTGAATTTTGTAATGTGTACCTTTCAAAAATATTACTTATATGGACGCTACTAATGTATACAATTTTATGATATGCCAAAATTCTTAATATTAATTGTTTTTATCTTGCCCATTATCCCTTACGGCAGAGGTCATAATACTGCAGTTAGGACTCTTTGCCATTCAGTAATATGGTTTCTGCAGAATCAGCTATAGATGTGACGATTAGGAACAACACGTCACTTCCGGTGGACGTAACTGGAACCGGCAAATTAAGCCAGTTTGGCTTACATCATAAGAGAACATAGCGGTTGGCTCAAACCGCAGAATAATTGTCCGATAAGGACCTCACCTGTGTATTTAAAACGAAGGCTGGACAACTGGAACTTCACGCCGATTGAGGAAGCAGACACGGCGAAACGCGTCTCGGGATTACCCACAGGATTTCCTTCTGACTATTGATATGCAATTTGTTATTTTATAGTTTGTAGTGTTTAAATTTAAATAAATCTTATCATCAACATACTTTTTCTGTGGGCTCCATATCCAGTTGTTCCAGCAACCAAAGAAGGGTTTGTGTCCCCTATTTTGACACTCAAGCTGTCACACTTAGAGCCAAGTTTACAGGCTCTAAATCAGGTGAGTGTCTTTTACTTATATGTTCCACAAATCAATTTTTGTCAACATGCTACACCAGATACTGGTTTTTATTATTTCGTTAGAAGGAACATCAAGACATATCATCTAGAGGGTTCGTGACCCCTAATACAAGCCTGCCAGAGTGATCTGAGCCTGTCCTAACGAGGCTCAGAACAATGTGAGCGAACCCAATTATTGAATTATCCTATCTGATCAATTTTGATATACTACACCATATTTGCTCATTTCCCCCTCAGGTTTTATATCAGCTCCTGGGGGGGTGAGTTATTTCATTTCCAGCGTTCCACCACTTTAAGAGGGGTTGGTTTTCTATACCACACAGTTGAACACATTTTCTACATAAATACATATATCTATCTATCTATCGCTCTCTCTCTCCACACACATTTGAGAAATATTATACACACACACACATATATATATATTTAAATTCTACAAATATATTTATATAATATTTTTACATAATCAAGTCATTTTTATTAATTACAATCTGACGGACCGGCCTGACAGCCCAAGCAGAAAGTCCAGAGAATTTGGCCCTGTATTTAACCCTGTAACTTTCTAGGAAACCATAAAACCTGTACATGGGGGTACTGTTTTACTCAGGAGACGTAGCTGAACACAATACTAGTGTTTAAAAATAGTAGAACATATCACAACGATGATATCGTCAGTAAAAATGCATTTTTCTTTGCACTTTTCACACACAAACGGTATTTCCACTGACGATATAATTGTTGTGATATGTTTTTTTTCTGTTTTGAAACACTAATATTTGTGTTTGGCTTAGTCTCCCAAGTATAACAGTACCCCCCATGTACAGGTTTTATAGTGTTTTTAAAAGTTACTGAGTCAAATACAAGGCTTTAGTTTCCTTTTTTTTCCACATTGAAATTTGCCCGATTGGTTATGTTGATTTTGAGACCGTATGGTAGCCCAGGAATGAGAATTACCCCCATGATGGCATACCATTTGCAAAAGTAGACAACCCAGAGTATTGCAAATGGGGTATGTCCAGTCTTTTTTAGTAGCCACTTAGTCACAACCACTGGCCAAAATTAGCATTCAATTTAGTTTTTTGCATTTTTCACACACAAACAAATATGAATCCTAACTTTGGCCAGTGTTTCTAACTAAGTGGCTACTAGAAAAGACTGGACAAACCCCATTTGCAATACCCTGGGTTGTCTACTTTTGAAAATGGTATGCCATCATGGGGATGATTTTCATTCCTGGGCTACTATTTGGTCTTAAAGGCAACATAACCAGTGGGACCGCCGGCGATCGCGGTGGGGGGGGGGGGACTCCCAGGGAGCCCCCCCGCGGTAGATCCTCTTCCTCCGGTGCCCCCCGGCCATGTGAGAGTGAGGTCCTTGCGAGGACCCCACAATCACATGGCCGGGGGTAGCTGCCTCCTGCATTGCCAGCAGGGGGGCTGCCTGTAATGACAGGTGGTCCCCCTGCTGGCTGGAAATTAAATTAAAATAAAATTAATTAAAAAGTAAAGTTTAAAAAAATATATATATATATACTTAGATATGATCTAAGTATATATACACACATATACATACACACACATACACTGTCTAGGTGTATTTTACTATTAATATATATATATATATATATATTAATATCAAATTACACGTAGACTGATACTGATTAAATATATATATTTATATATAATATAAAAAAATTAAATATGTAAATACGTTAAAAAATAAAATAAAAAAATATATAAATGTGTGTTATTTAATTCTAACTGTATTGTGATATTAATATATATATATTTATATCAAAATACACGTAGAACGAAATATATATCTACATACATAAATATATATACACATATATATATATATATATATATATATATACACACACACACACACACACACACACACATATATATACACACACACATAAATAAAAATATTTTTAAAAAATTATATATATATATATATATATATATATATATACACACACACACACATATAGATTCACATACATATACAAATATTAGTGTTTCAAAACAGTAAAATGTATTACAACGATGATATCGCCAGTAAAAGTGAAGTTTTTTGCATTTTTCATGCACAAACAGCACTTACACGGACGATATTATTGCTGTGATACTTTTTACTATTTTGAAACACAAATATTTGTGTTCAGTGAAGTCTCCCGAGTACAACAGTACCCCTCATGTACAGGTTTTATGGTGTTTTCAAAAGTTACAGCGTCAAATATAAGGCTTGTGTTTCATTTTTTTCACATTAAAATTTGCCAGATTGGTTAGGTTGCCTTTGAGACCCTATAGTAGCCCAAGAATGAAAATTACCCCTATGATGGCATACCATTTGCAATAGTAGACAACCCAAGGTATTGCAAACGGGGTATGTCCAGTCTTTTTTAGTAGCCACTTAGTCACAAACACTGGCCAAAATTGGCGGTTTTTGCATTTTCACACAAACAAATACTAACGCTAGCTTTGGCCAGTGTTTGTGACCAAATGGCTACTAAAAAAGACTGGACATACCCAATTTGCAATACCTTGGGTTGTCTACTATTGCAAATGGTATGCCATTGTGGGTGTAAATTTTATTCATGGGCTACTATAAAGTCCCAAAGGCAACGTAACCAATCTGGCGAATTTCAATTTCAAATGTAACGTGCTATATTTGACCCTGTAACTTAACAAAACACCATAAAACCTGTACATAGGGGGTACTGTTTTACACGTGAGACTTTGCTGAATACAAATATGTGTATTTTATTGCAGTAAAAGCAAACAGTATTATGACATTGACAGTTAAAATGTCATGTAGAACTAAAAAAAATAAAAAAATCAAGAGAAATCTTATTTTCTCCCATTTTTTTCATATTAAATTATGTTTCATAGCTAAATATTTGAAATTAAATGAAAGCCCTGTTTCCCCTGAATAAAATGATATATAATAAGGGTGAGTGCATTTACTATGAAAGAGTTGAATTACGGTTGGACAGACATGTAGCGCAAATGCCAGGTTGTGTTTACATTTTGTTTCGTTCACAACGTGTACATTTGGCTCCGTCCTTAAGGGGTTAAGGGGTTAATCAGGCTTGTTCTCCAATATGGAATTAATTTAATCTACACATTTTATTTGGAATTTAAAAATCAATAGAAATTGCTTTTTCAAGGCAAAGGAATGTAGGAATTTATTTAGACCTTCAGGGGTTCTTCTCCGTATAAGGTTGAGAAAGACTGCCATCCACCTTGTATATAAGGACTATGCAATCATCTGCCTCTATTAACAACATAACAAAATGTGATCTTGTGCTCTAAAAGTCTGTGTTTCAATATGGTTTTATATACTGTAATAATCTGTGAATGAGAGGACACAATTTAAAAGGGACACTAAAGGCACAATAACCATAGCTGATTGCTGTAATGGTTGTGGTGCAAGAAGTCTCCTAGCATCATCTGGCTGTAATACATTGAAATGTTTATAAACCGATTGACACTCAACTTGCTGTGTAGGGCACGAGTGGTTCCCCTGATGAGAAGTTGCCTGAGACAGCAGAAGTAAAATTTTCCGCATTATCATATCAACTTACATCAGGTTTAATCAGTATTCATTGGTTGACAGCCACCAGCTAACACAGCAACGTTTGTGTCAAAGTGTTCACAAATTGTCTGACAGCATAGTGCCAGACAGCGCCAAGGTTCAACTGGCACCATATCTAAAATAGTGTGATGTGATAAGCTTGAATTATTTAGGAGCTACATATAAATGGTACATTTAGAAATATCAATAAAATGGATACATCGTCCATAAATGAGTGGATGAAATGTACTCCATTAAATTTTACAATTTATACTTTACATTGTGTTAGCAAAATTAACAGATTTAGAAGATACTCAGTATTCTGTATTGGGCCACCAGTGTTTACTGCTGTGATTAAAAAGCTTAACTTGTCAACAATAATACAGTTTATATCTGCACAATATGTAGATGAAACTATGATGTCTATAAAGTTCCATCGTGACAATTTCTTTTATTGTGATCTCACCCAGAACTTTGCTTGGGTTGGCATCGAGTCGCAAGATCGCCATGGCTAATGGAAGTGTTAGCGTGATGTAATATTTGGAATCCTGAAGCAAAGGAAATTCTGGGAGAATGAGGTAGATCCTCATTGCTTCCACATCAGGTGGAGAGCTGGGTAGTTGTGGTATCAGAAAGCTTTCAAAACCTTTAATAATCTAAGAGAAAAAATATTAATGGTAATGCAACAGTCAAAATATGTCCTGGTCTATCAGGTTGAAAGAAGTGTGAAAGATATGCTGTAAGCTTATTCTCAAAATGCAGATACTCGAGTGTGGAAAGTGGGTGCAGTGTTCGAGGTACTCTGATTTAGACCCACACCGTACAGTAAAGGAATTACAAAAACAGCATATCTTTAGGACTGTCTTGCAAGTTTACCTGCCAATGTGTCAACCTTAAAAGATTAAACACTAAGGAATACTAAAATAATATTGGTTACCTTCAATTTTTATATGAACAAATATCAACATTACTAAACTACTTTGCCTCTTTATAAATCAATGATATGATGCCACATTGAATACGCAGCACAGTTCAGGGCACAGATTTTAAATGCTACAATAAGGGGAATGGAAGATTTAATTATAAAGAAAGGCTAGAAAACTTGTGAACGTGTTTACATTAGAAAAAAAGGCCTCTCTGAGAAGATATGATAGCATCATAAAAATCTGCCCAGGATCAGTACACACATATCTATAGTAGCCTGTTTATTTGCAGGATTTAATAAGAAAATAATAATCCATTGGGACTTAAAGGGACACTAGTCACCAAAACAAATACCATTTTAATGAATGTTAAAATGATTAGTATGTCTGGTAACAGCTTGCCAATCCAAGTAGCCAATATTGTGTCAAGGATTTTCTTTTCCTTTTGAGGCACAGTGGGATATTGCTTTGAATTTGCCTTCTTTCGCAAAGATTTCGAGTGTCTAGCTCAGCAGTAGTCAACCTTTTAATACCTACCGCCCACTTTTGTATCTTTGTTGATGGTAAAATTTCCTTACCACCCACCAGTGCTGCAGCAACTAATTTTATAGCGCAAGTGCAATTTTTTAATTTTTTTTTTTTAGAAAGGAGGGATTTATATTACTTTTTTTTTCTATGTGTGTGTGTGTGTGTGTGTAAGAGAGGTATAGTGTGTGTGAAGGGTGCAGTGTGTGTGTGGTGTATGTAAGGGGGCAGTGAATGTGTGAGGGTTGGTGTGCGTGTGTGAGGGGGGTGGTCGGTGTGAGGGGGCAGTCTTTGTGTGTTGGAGGGGTGTAGTCTATGGGAGGGGGCAGTCTGTGTGTGAGGGTGCAGTGTTTGTGTGTGAGCCAGGGTAGTTGTGTGAGGGGTGCATGGGGTCTTTGCAGAAAACGCCATGGGGTCTTTGCTGTGTGTAGGTGGGTGAGATGTGAAAATCTATCTTGTCTTATCTTTTTACCAGAGTGGGGGGACATAATTCTGCAAGCCCTGGCGGTCCAGTGATGGCATGTTCACTTTAGCCTGCAGTTCCTGCAACGGACTCTCCTGTCCTCTCTCCTGTCTCTCCTGTGCGAGAGCAACACTGTATCGGAGCCATGGTAACATCCAGCAACGCTCCGACCAGCCTGCTCGCTGGAGGAACACAGAGCATCCCAGGCCCTACCCTCCCTCTCCTGGAACTAAGTGCCAGCAGGCCGGTGAGGGAGATCTTTGATCTCCTCGCAAGCTCAAAAGGGCTTACAGCAAGGCTGGCTCTGCATAGGCTGGCAGGGGAGATGAAAGGATCTCCCCTGCTGGCCTTGCTCCACGGCCAACGAGGCCCACTGGGCGTTTTCTGCAGAACCCACCACCGCCCACCTGAAATCCCAAACCTTCAGCTAGTGGGCGGTAGGGACCTGGTTGACTACCCCTGGTCTAGCTAATGATTCAGACTCCCAACATTTTAAACAAGCAGTATATGTAAAACTCACTGCAGAAAAAGTTTGAGACACTTTTAAGCCTCTGTTTTGCATTGACTTCATTCACTTTTCTCTAGTGACCTGTCATTTATAATCTTTCCTTCCTTTAAAAACAAAAACAAAAAACAACTTTTGCCCTTTTCCCCTTATTTAGAAAATGATTAAAATACTGTAAATAGTCTATTAATTGACCCACACCACTGGATATGCTTTACCTGCTCAAGCAGTCGGGACTGATGAGAGTTCAGGAGCTTCTCAAACAAAAGTTTCACGGAGCACATGTTGATTCCAGGTATTTTTGCGCTTGTTTTAAAATGGTCATCATTTCTACAAACATTGGAAAAACATAAAAATTGCCTAAGCATATGGAAAAATATCTTATAAATGAGCCTTATTGAATACCTGTCAACTGCCCTTCATTTGACAGCACAGTCACAATTACAGTTTTCAGTTCAGGATTTGATGTTTAGAGCAAGTGCTGTGTAAACCAGCAGCTCTCTGCACACGGGAAGTTCTGCAGCTGCGTGTACTGTCTCTCATCCAGGCACACATTTGCTGCAACATGCCCCTTTTATGTGAATGTCACCAGTGAAGTGAATTCCAGTTCCAAACCAAATCCCCTGAAAGAGCATCATGGGAGATGTAGCCCACATCTGGAGTGCCTAAGGCTGCCTACTCCTGTTATAGACATTAACTCATTGGAATTATTTTTGACAGACAGCCATGTTCTGCAAGTCAAGCTCAAGTCCATTTACATAGTACCGGACCCAGTTACCCAAATATGCATTTCATTTGTTGATCTAGATGAGTTTGTCAGGTGTTTTTTATTTTCTTCCAGCATCCTCAAGAAGCTACAGCCAGTCAGCCTACACCTATCACTCATTCTCATTCTTTCACTTTCCTCGATTTATGTAGGAATATCTTAAATAGAAGACAAATATATTGTCATATTATAATTTTTTTAGTTAACTGTGCACATACATTTATTTTCTATGTAACTATAAACGAGATTTGACCAACTATTAAAACATTCAGCATACCTCGTAGCATCTGTTAAAAAAAAAAAAAACGATTTATGAAAAGAGCAAGTCAGGGAGGTGTTGTGATTTAAAGAAGTGATGGATGGATGGATGGATGGATGGTGGGCTGTCACATGATAAGACAATACCAACCTCTTATCCAGAAAGCTCCCATTCCAGCATGCAGAGGACGACAAGGTTTGCACAATGCAACTTGAAGACACAACAGGCAAAAAGAGGAAAAGAGAAAAGGGAGATTAGCATTCCCATAAGTGATCGCACAAATACGTAGTTATTATCACAGTTTATTTTAAACAAAGCAGTTTTTCTTGCAATATGCATGCCAATTGGCTCATCTAATGGATATGTTAGGTGCAAGCCAAGCAACATGGCTTATACAGAGTATGGGCTACACCGCTGCATTTCCACCTTGCCTACTGCACAGAACAGTTGTGAGCAGTTATATTGTTAACAGACAGAAAATGAAATTTAATATTGAAATAGTTTATACACCAAGAAAGATGTTTTGCTTAAAATGAAATCTCCTCATATTTTACATTGCCCAGTATTTGACAAATGAGCAGGCCTAGTAACAGCACCACGTCATTATGTTATACACAGGATATCAATTGATTAAAGTAACATACTTGATAGAATTGGAGTTACTATGGTCCATTACTTTTTGCCTCCACACATCAATGGTCTCTGCATTAATCAGATTGATGTCACTTCTATTTGTGCAGGAACGAAAGTCAACAGTAGGCCAGACGTTCTGAAAAAGAAACATCAGTCAAAAAGGAAATATTACACCAGAATCCACCAGATAATGCAGACGTCGTTCCATCTCACCTCAATGTAAACAGCGAGTGAAAGTGTGTTAGCTCTGTAGACTGGGGGTAACAGAGATACTGTGAATACTCACACTAACTAGGACTAGCCCTGAGCAGTCTCCCTTCCTGCTCCCCTTCAGCTGAATATGATGGTACATCCCAGCAACCGCTTCCTTCCACGTCAATTTGGTGGACCAACGGGTGTGAGAGCCATAACTGAGCGGCCCATATACAGCATTCTTAGAACAATGCCTAGCAACCAGGCTGTCTATGTGGGACAATCACAGCTATGGTACCTGCTCACTCCACTCTAAACTGTCCTTAAAGGACTAGGATAGTGAATTGTGGGTTGTGGAGCTTACAGTGTCCCTCCAAGCTCTCTCTCTCTCAATATATTTTAAATGTAACTTGACTGTTGGCTTACTTAAATCAGGTTATAAGCCAGGGGAATACTGTTAAACATTCTGACACCCACTACAAGGGCTGAATCCCATGGTTTTAAATAGTAACTACATTTACAAAGACCAACTTTAAAATGGGACACATTTTGAAAAAGAAAAACCTGACCAATCTACTTTAGTGCAAGTAGCAGGATGGGATTTTTCAGAATATGACAGAACAGAAGAATATGTTGTTTAAACCTTTTACCAACTTTACTGAGCTCAAGTTACTTTCAGTGAATACTACTGAAAACCCCCTGGTAGCATTACTCAAATTCCCAGAGTGACAAATGAATGTTCTATGTTTAAAAAACAAACAAAAACAAAAACATGGATATTCATCTCTAGTGAAAAACTTCTGTTTCCTAACTTACTCTCCTTTGAGAAAGTAAATTTCAGTCCTTACTTTGTTACTAATCGGTTGTGTTGATACAGTTTACAAGACTCCATGGCTTACCTCTAACTTTGAACAGAGAACAAATGCTTTATTCCATCCAGAGAATATCTGCTTGATGTTATATGAAGTGGGATCTAGCAGAGAGAAAACCAATATGCAATTAGAAGTATTTTATGAACAATGACTTTGTGGCTATATTCATAAGGATAAAACCCTACAGCTGGAGTAAAATGGATGAGTTATAAAACTTGCCTTATAATAATTTCAAGCACAGTTTGTTTTTAAACATAATTGTATTTACATAGTGACCAAATTAGACACGAACTGTGAATTCCTCAAAAATCAAGGACACATCTATTTGCCTTTTTTTTCCGGATGTTGGAGTGATACCACAGCTTAGTGGATCAGGGTAATGAATCATCTGTGTGACACATCCAAGAGGTGACATGGCAATCTAAAAGCTAAATCAATGATCCCTATGAGGAATTAGTGCAAGCACTTAAAAATGATGCCTACCCTCTGGAACAATACATTGACTGCTCAATTTTTTGATATTTAGGGTTTAAATCACGTTGTTTATGCACCCCTAGTCGCACCTTTCTAAATTCTGACTCATGCAGAACACCTACACAACTCCTGAAAAAGAGGTCTAATTTTCAAACTTCCCTCATTGCACAATGTATTTGTCAGAACCCCAGCACACATATTCAACCCTTAGCCGATCATGTGGTGCGCTGATTTGGCAACACAAGTCCCTCCTTCTATCTGCCTCCTCTAATGATGAAGTGACCACACACTGCACCCTGCTCTCCCAGGTCTGCATCATTCTCAAACCCTCCCGCCCCCCTTACATTTTGGGGGCATGGCTATACTAAATAGTATAAACACCAAATCCATTGTTCCTTGCCCTATTGTGGTTTCTTGATCCCTTTAGTATGTTGCTAGTGTCCTTTATAATGATTCTTTCCTGTCCATTTGTCTATTCTGACCTCTGATAATCTTGATCCGGCTTAGTTTTCTCACTGACCTTTCTGGAATCCCTTGATCTTGGATAGTTTATCTATTTCTCTGTCTTTCGTGAAGCCCAGCCACCTCTAAGGACCGGCAACACAATCTTGCACCTGTCTTACCTTTCTGGATTCATACTCTCTGTATTTGGGTTACTAACCGTGACAGTTTTTTTATCTCCTACTCTGTGATTTGCCTGGTAAAGCCTGCAGCTGGCTCATGTGTGATTAAAGTTCAATTAATAAAGCATGAGAAAAGAACTTCTAAACTACAGGGTAAGAACTACTAAAGTAAACACACTGTGCTGTAAAATGAAACCTTCATTCATGGAGGCTGTGTGAGTCTCAGCCAGGGAAGCGGAGACTCGGGCTGCATAAAAATAGCCACATGGGAAACAAAATCTGTCACATTGCCATGTTATATAGACTGTGCCCAGTTTAGATATTTTGACCAAAAATCTGTACATCCATAGTCAATTAACCATAAATCACGGGCGGTCAAGTGAATTGATTGTTGTATTAATTCCATTTTTGTAGTGCTTCACTTGGCACTGTTAGCCATCTCTACATTTTTGTCAGTCCAAGAATGTTCACACACTATATCAAATACTGACATTTAAACAGATTATCGAACACTCAAAATGATATAAATGGACTTCATTTTAAAGAAGTACAGTGGATAAAATCACAACAACAAGTTCTAGAAATTGTATTTCCTCCCAATTTAGCGAATGTTCCCTTTAAACAATTGCATGATTTTTGTGTGAATTCGAATTATGAAATAAATGCATGACAGACACAGCAAACCTGAAAGAGTGCAAAATGGCCACGGGTACAGACTCTAAGAAAACCAGAAGCTTTGTGGGCAGCACTGAGCTAAACGTGCACATTTTAATGAGGATAATCTACTCCCACAACATATCTGGTCTGAACAAATGCTTTGTGCTACCAATCCCAACCAGAAATCATAGCACTAGTCATTGCTCAAGGACATGGAAGATACAGAATGCACTCAGCAGGTAGAAAGCCTAGATAAATATTAACCCCATAACAACCAGGATTATTTGTACGGACTACAGCAATAGTTGGCACTTTTGCTGTGTTTGTCCAGCTCATTATCAGAGGGCACCCACGCATATATGTTGGCAAAGGCAGTGTCCTCCTGACATATTTATTTGTAAAATATTTTATCATGAAAATACAATGAGATTTCCTCGGATTTCAAATGTGTCCTAGAGACCATATAGAAATGCAATTCATGTTACACATACATTACAAAAGAAGACATGTATGTATCAAACAATTTGATTTGTAAACAAGAGCAGCTATGACAAATCTCACAGTTTGAGATCATTAGCATAACTTCATTACAGCAATGCCGCATGCGCATAATTGTGTCTCATATTTTAAAGTAACAAGTGAGTTACAGTTTACAAACTTTGGTCTCAATTTAATATTTTTGGATAAGAGTTTCAATTTGTTTAATATATCTGCATAAACTTTCAAAAAATATATATTTTTTAAATATTAATATATCGAAAATATAGCATATTTAAAAATGTATCAATATACCCACAAAAAAAAACCCATCTAAATATTTTTTCTTAATCAATGTTAAATAAATTTCAAAAGTTTATCCAAAAATATTAAAATGAGGCCTTTATTGGGTCCAGTTCCTCATTGTGGACAAATTTGAAGTCTACCACCTGAAAATATTCCATATACTTATTTGGTTATTTTAAGACTTTCAATGGTATATCAGTACGTTCCATGCAGTCATTTTATTTTTTATTACACTTTTTATATGTTTGTTCACAAAATGTGTGCTTGTGTACAAAAAAAAATAAAAAAAATAAAAAAAATAAATAATTTCTCCGTGCAGCACATACTTTTGCTCTCTCAATTTTACACATTTTCATTTTCAAAATGTTCTGGCCCACGGCACATTTGGAGCAATATAGCAGCACACTATTCCTTTTAGATATTTGTTTATGGGCTATTTATGTGGTGTTTAATGTGCTCTATTAGAAGAGAAAAAAGGAAGGTGCCCATGGCTAAAAGTATGTTGGGAAATGATAAAGTAAACCATTTGTGTTACACACTGCACATGAGAAGTTGTTATGAAAATGTGCAAAAAGAAATAAAAAAAAAATAATGGGGAAAAAAAAACAACAACTTTTAAGCATGTAGTTTAATTTTACTTAATTCAGTAAGTTAAACTGTTTTAAACAGCAGATTTTTTTTAGCACAATTGCTTTAACCTTGCACTATATGAATGAAGCATCCACGAATGAAGGTTTCATTCTACAGCACAGTGTGTTTACTTTAGTATTTATATATATGGCTATTATGAAAAAAACAAATTCTATGCAATAATAAATATACTGACCGGCTGAAGCAGGAATCTGTCGTCGGTGTGCAGCCCATTTCCCTTTCACTATGGTAGGGCAATTCACATTACGGGTTTGCCCAGTACCGAGCTGACCCAGATCTCCACTGCCAAATGCATAGAGGAATCCTGAAGAAGGCACATAAGCAATGGTGTGCTGTCTGGAGATGTGAAAAATTGAATAATATTGGCATGTTTTATGCACAGATTAAATAGTAGACAGAGCATACATGTTCTATGCACAAAAAAATAAAAAATAAAAAATTACATGCTAAGACATTAAAGGGACACTATAGTCACCAGAACGACTATAGCTTAATAGGAAATAGGCCAATTCTAATGAGGTCAGCCAAGGAGGTGGATCTGGGGAGGAGCCAGCGCCGGGGGACCCATGCAATGATGGAATTAAGGTGAGTTATTAATATATTTAAGGGGGGCAAAAGAGGGCCAGGGGAGCGAAATAGAATTTGTGCTCCTGACTCTTGTGTTCCTTTAAATGAATATTTTAAGCACCATAACCACTAGAGTCCAACGCAGTGATTATGGTGCCAGAAGTGCCCTGTCGCTTTCCCACTTTAAGTAGTCAAACCATTCAAGATGCATTTTAACCAGTTAACTCTGTGATGTAGGAAAGGTATATAATTTTGAAACTCGAAACAAAATGAGCATTGTACACATAAAAAAAGCAAACAGAGTAAGAACTTTAGAATGTAAAAAATAAACCACACAAGGTAAAAATTACTTCAAAAGGGTTAGTTCTCCGCCGCAGTCTCAGAGAAAAAAAATATATATAATTTTGTAGGAGAGTATTTAAATGTTGGGCCCATGGACTTCATATTGAAAGCAGATTTTAGTCATTCTGTGATTAGCTTACCTGCCGCAAGCAATCTGAGTCACTTCACTGCCCATTAACTCCATCACACGCCTGGGATTTATTTCGTTATGAAGACTGTCATGTCCAAGTTGACCACAGCCCCCAGCTCCAAATGTGAAAAGGCCCCCAGACTGTACAGAAAACAAGCAAAAGACAAACAGGGTTATTTACTAAGTAAAAATTCAAAGTGAATTCAGACTTTGACACGTACATTTACACATTGTGCTTCAAGATCGTTAGCTAATGTAAAGCTCCAAAAAATATACTTTCTTAAAGGGAACCTACAGTCCCAGAAATATCAATCGTTTGTTAGGAACAATAGATTCCCTTCTGTCCACCCCCCTTTGCTGCTAAAATAAAAACTTAAAAGAGAATACTTACCTTGTTTCCAGATTCTGAACACCTCTCTTGCAGCCTTTAGCACCAGTGATATCCTCTAATCCATTGCTTTACATGGAAAATATGCATATGTCCCCAAATGATGCATTTATCCAATCAATTTCTGCTACCAGCAGCATTTAATTCCCATACAGGGTTTTACTGGATCAGGAGAATGAAACACCTCTAATAGCTGTCAGGAAGTCATTCACTAGAGGTGGACTAAACTCGCTAATATAAACATTGCAGTTTTAAAAAATTTTACACCGCAGAGTTAAAGGGACACTCCAGGCACCCAGACCACTTCCATTGGAGTGGTCTGGGTGTGCCAACTCCCATCACCCTTATCCCTGCAAGTGTAATTATTGCAGTTTTTATGGATTTATTTTCCTGGCACTGGAGAGTCCCTTTAAATGACAGGAACACTGTACCCAGACCACTTAAATGAGATGAAGCCTTTAATATCTCCCACTTTGCAAAGCCTATCTAAGCATCTCTCCAATCGCCCAATGATAATTAGTGATCCCTGGAACAGTGCTACTTCTTATTTTAGGTTGTGCCGGTCATTCATGGTGCCGTAGTGTTTTAGATGGTGACCACCAGAAACCTTTGACTATGCCATTCCTTGGAAGGACTGCCAGCAGCTTACTAAGAGCTGTAATTAAGTAATTATACAATGCTGCCGGAAGTGACACATTGATGGAGGGAGGTTAGTATTAAGCTAACCAGTCACTGACAAAATTGACAAAGGACGTGAAGCTAGACTAAAACTCCACGCTTTGTCAACTTTTGTCTACCTGCAGGTTAAGAAAAAGTAGTCCCTAAAAAAATTACAGAGCAGCTTTTAAGATTGCTCTGCAAATTTTAAGATTGTTGTATAAAAAAAAAAAAAAAAAAAGGTCTGCAACTAACAGGCCGACAAATGATGAACAGCACAACTCATGTTTGTTATTAAAACCAGTAATGGCCAATGTGAAAAAAAACACCCCAACTTACCTATAGTCACTGCTTGCCTAGCTAAGCTTGCATTTTGCCATTTTAGTTTCATTTCATTACAATTCATCAGTGAATAACTACAAAAAATATATATATTTTTTTCTTCTATTGACGAAGAAGGAGGCTCTCTTAAAGTTTAGTTGCTTGTTAAGATTGCTGCTGATTACCTTAGTGAGGATGGCTGTGTGTTCTTCTCCACAACTGATATACACAACCTTCTGTGTTCTCAAAGGCTTTACTTGACAAGGTGACTCTCTGACTACAAAAAAAAATGCATTTAAATGGTTGAACCAGGGTTAGTCATCTTGGATACTGAACATATATAAGATTACATTATGCATTCTTTTTCATGCAGATAATTATGAATTGAAAACAAATTTTCTCTTATACATGTCTAAAAGCATATGCGATCAATGCTTTTTTGGTACTTACAAGAACAAATATTACAGATGATATTCCATATTTATATATATATATATATATATATATATATATATATATATATATACACACACACATACATACATATATATATATATATACACACACACACACACACATATATACACACACACATATACATACATACATACATACACACACACACACACACACACACACACACTAAAGGGACATTATATTCTGCAGAAGGCCAGTGTTAACATTGCAGGGTTTAAAGGGAAACTATGGTGCCAAGAAAACAAAAAAACAAACTCGTTTTCCTGGCACTAGAGCTTCCCCCTCTCTCAAGGCTCCCCCCCCCCCCAGTGGTGCAGAAGGGGTTAATAACCCCTTCTGTCACTGTCACTTACCTGGGTCCAGCGCCGATGTCCCTCTGCCCCCAATCCTAATGACCTAAAGCACATGCTGTCTGGTAGACTAGCAAGTAATTATTGCAGTTTATAAAAACTGCAAGAATTACATGCTCGGTGTTAAGGGTGAGGGGAGTTTGCACCCAGACCACTTCAATGAGCTGAAGTGGTCTAGGTGCCTACAGTGTCCCTTTAAAATGCCTCTAGTGGCTGTCCCTCATACAGCCACTAGAGACAATTGGTGGCGGACCGCCTGGCACCCCGACTGGGTGCCTCGAGCACTCGCAGCCTCCTAGTACTTACCTAGTACCACAAGCACCGCACCAGACACCATCAGCACTGTAGTCCCCACTTCCAGTGTTACAGCTTGGTTGGGGTCTTGCTGTCCTCCACCCACCCTGGATCCAAGACCAGGATCCAGCTTCCAGTGGGTAGACCTCTCCTCCAAGAGAGTGTAGCAATATGCTCTTAAAACAGCAAGTGATTATAATCTCAGGGGAGTATAGTGATATAGCAATCCCTAGTGTGATACAGCCGTTCCCCCCACACATGAGATGAGACTATGTTGAGGGTAAGCAGGAACACGTTTATTGGTAGCCACACTGGCCTTTGTAAATCCCCATGCAAGGGGCACTCCCTCCGGGACCTGAGTGTAAACCACAGTAGAAACAAATACACAATTACATTGGCTCTCAGATCCAGGACACTCCCATACATAATAAGATAGTCCCTCCCCTACGCATGGGAGATAATTGGATCAGGAACTGTACTAACTTAATTATCCCCAGACATAACACACATTTCAGCAGTACCCCGAAAGTACCCCTAAAACCCATGAAAACCCCGCAAGAGTTACATCTCCTGATAGCCCTGATCTGGGTGACCAACATATCCAAAAATCATGGAAGTCATTTCCATGGAAGTCATATTTTGACCGACTGCATGAGAGTCTCCTGCCCAAAAAAGTTCCATGACATCAGGCTGTGCGGTTGGTCTCTTTCGGGAATACTCAATACAGTCAAAATACCAAAATGTATTGGTTCGTGAGTATGCTGAGGCTCTGTCCCTCGTTCAGGAGCTTGCTCTCACCAATCGCTGCTCTTTCCATACGAATCCAGACGAACATATGTAGAGATGAAAGTCCCAGCAGTGTTCGCGCCGTGGAGTGTCCAATCATAGTTCCATGCACTCAACGACAAAACACCGCTCTATGTGTTCGTGGCTAAAGATGGCCGCCACCACGTGTTCGCATATACGAACGACGGCCACCCAGCTAACTACTTAGGATGTTGCTGTTAAACATAAGTCAGGAAGGTTAATGGGCTGCACACTCCTGTTCTGAGTGGTCTAACTGTTCAGTAACTGAAACAGAATAAGTACAATCTGTTCGATAAGCCCCATACACCGATCCATAACAGGGAAAAAGGCACGAACAAAGCCTTTCCACAGTCTTGAACCAAGGTCTAATACATGGGCTATAGTCCTTGGGCAAGAGGCTGGCAAGCAGGCCCCTCTTAGAACCAGTGGTGAGGTTACTTTCGCCTCACACACACACACACGTTATAAAATAGCCTCTAGTAAATCTATGCTATTTCTATCACATGGGCTGAGAGGTCTCTGATTGGCGCAGTGTGGTGTTTTGCCACACAGGCGCATTAGCCTCCAAATACTTTCCTATAGGGATTGGCTGTGAGGGAAAAATTCAAGCAATACCTTTTTTATTCCCGGCAGGTGGGGCTGAGGTCCTAAACGCCCACCATGGCACTATAGTGTTAGGAATACACTTTTGTATTACTAATGCTTTAGTGTTTTTTTAAATACAGGTATAACTTATTTTTTTACAGATGCCTTCTCTCTCTGTGCCTGTCAGTGTATATCAGTAATGTGAACTATAACAACACTTATTAATGTTAATATGGTGATCTGTAACAGAACAATGTACACACTTGCTGATTTACTACAACATGGGATTTCACACACACACACACACACACACACACACACACACACACACACGTTAACAAAACTCAATGTGAGTGTTCAAATACATTATGTCACTATTCTACCTCAATAATTTACTTTCTCTGCTTTCTATTCCGGCTTAACTTACTGGTCACCTGTAACCAAGAATGTGTGTACATTGTGGTGTTGATCCGTTTATAAAGGTACAGTGTAACTGCTCTTGGGTGCAGATCTGTCTCATTGATAAACACTCACTTTGGTGGAACCATTACAGCCTGTGATATCATTACAGTGTTAAAATGTCATGAACATGCACAGGCAGACCATTTGGCCATAAGGCCTCCACGCAGTCTGCCCTGCACAACATGAAGTTCACTGCATTAGTTAGAGGTGCACATGGCCACTGTCATCTTTAATCAGCCACGCACAAGCACAGCTATCCCTACCTGCCACCTGGAAGGCCTGGCAGGATGATGAGGAAAGGGGAGTTAGATGAGGTTGGTGGGCACAAGGTGCAAGGATTTGTGTGCGTCAGGGGTTCACAAGGTGAGAGGCAGAAGTGAGGGGGCACAAGGGTAGAGGCACAATTTTGGTGGACACAATGTGAGTGGATTTGGGTGTGAGGGCATAAGGTTAGAATCACTAGTAGAGAACACGAGGGAACCAGGGGAAAGGTACAAGTTGGCGATACAGGGTGATAGGGATTGGGGGGAGGTACAAGGGGAATTAGGGAGTAGAAAAGGAATGTGTGGGTAGTTAGAAATATGTAGAGGTGCAAGTGGGGAAATTATGGGGGTGAAAAGGCATAAATAGTAAATTAGAGAGGGAAGGAAGAATAATTGGGGATTTAGAGACGTAAAACCACCCCCCTGACATGTGTATGTATATATCCATGAAGAAGGGGTCCATGGCCCAAGGGCCCACATTTTTGCCAGGCTGTCCTTGGACAACACTAATCTATAGCTGCCTAGTGCTGTCAGTTACTGCTATGACTATACTCTAGGGAGGATTCACAAAATAATAAGTTGTGGTAAGTTGATTGCAAAAAAAGACAAGGATAGCCAAGCTGGAATAAAAATGTAAATTTTTAATTTCATCACTAATCACTGTGAGTAAACCACTTGTATACAGTATTAGTAAAACAGTTTTGTGCAAATATTTTGTTTTGCCCTGCAATAAAATGTTACACTAAAGCATTAGAAATACAAATCCCTATCTAGACAGGCACCCCATCCTCCTAGTTCAGTATAAAACTATTCGAAAAGCATTCCCCCTCTGACTGTATGAATACAGAATAAACAGGTAATGTGAAGATTCCTGCATAGCAAAGTACAATTTTCTGTTTTTTTGTGGCCCTCTGACAGATGCAAAGTTTGGTTTTAATATGCCTATATTTTTCATGAATACAAATACTGCAGTCATGCATTCATGAGAGAGAGAGAGAGAGAGAGAGAGAGAGAGACTGACGTTTAACAACATTTCAACCATTCAATATATCTGTAAAATGTATGGAGGTTGTCTTTAAACTCTGAAGGGTGTCTTTGTCCTTTATGTCATGAAAGGGTTAGTTGTCAGGGAAATGTATCAAAGAAAAGGCCGGCCGGCATTCCCTCCAATGGCCATTGGAGTAACTAAATGACTTCCATTTGTTTAAATATACATAGGGATTAAGGAGAGAGCGCAGGTAACTTTTTTCCTTTGGTTTTTACTGTATGTATTGGAGCTGATGTGTACTGTGGTCGTTGCTGAGGTCGTTGCCCAGGAGTGATGGGAGTGAGCGCAGGACTTATCTTTTTGTATAGGGAAATGTAGCAGTCTAAATTGGGGAGGCAGAGGGTGAATTGACATGGGGACTTAGAGTCTTGTGACTATAGAGCTGGTTATGTGGCAAGTACGGACATTTTACTGGAAAATGGTGGTTCGTTATCTGGAGCTCTAGGGGGCCCCAAAAAAATCATGCACCAGGACCCTTTGTTTATTAGTTCTGCTATTGGTGTGTGTATTCCAACCATGCATTGCATGACAGTAAACCATGCTGCAAGCTTGCTCCCACACAGCCACCATACTGATTCTTTATACTTCGGAGCCACCATAATAATGGAATGTGATAAAACTCCCAGCAGCAATCAGTCAAATTGGCTGCAACAATGTGTTAATTGAAAAACTATAGGGTCAGGAACACAATCATATTCCTGAGCCTATTGTGTTAAAACCACCATTTAGGAAAGTTCAGCATCTCCATGGAGAGTGTGGAAACGCTGAATAACAGTGCTGCACACTGTGCCACACTGCCCCAGGAAGCACCTCCATCTGAGGAGTGGCCAGTGGAGGTGTCCCCAGGGGCAATGTAAACATTGTCATTTCTCTGAAAAGTCAGAGTTTACATGAAAATGCCTGCAGGGACTGTTTATACTCATCAGAACAACAACATTAGGCTATAGTTGTTCTGGTGACTATAGTATCCCTTTAAGTATACTTTAAAAGTCTCAAATTTTTGTGGATTTCATACCTCCATGAATAACTTACCTTTCTCATCACTGAGACCAAGCTGCCCCTCACTGTTCTTTCCCCATCCAAACACTGCCCCAGAGAGTGACAAGGCAAAGCTGTGATATCCACCAGCAACAATCTGGGCCAGAGGAATACCTTCCAGGGACTTCACTCGATGAGCACTGCACTGCGAGCCAAAACCACTGCCCAGGCCAAGCTGTCCATGGCAGTTCTGCCCCCATGTAAATAACTGGCCATCTGGAAGAAGCACAAGTTACCATTAGGACTGCAAGTCCCCCCCCCAAAAAAGAGAATGACTGCACACAATATGGGATAATTTAAGATTCTTGTTTAGTACTTCTACATAAACTCTAAACAGCAGAAAGCACTTGGAGTGGCAAAGAAATTAGCAATGCAGCGATTTGTACTGTTGTATCCGGAATCTGTAGCAGCAAACAGTTTTCATGCCACTGGATCAATCGCAAAGCATGCACTAAAACTGTGGAATGCAATGGCTCATATACTAAAAGAATCTCAATTATCACGGCTCAGAATTTACACTTCCCACTAGCCATCCCTGGTAAGTAGAAATTTACCCCTGGTGAGTATGCTATTGCTTGCAGTGGTCAGTGATTAATAACGTTTGGCACGTAGTATAGGATAGGGCCTAAGAAAGTAGTTTCTTCATCACACATTTTAAAACTAACTATGTGTAATACACATTATGGCTGTATATACCAAGTTGATGTTGATGGTGAGTTGATGTTGACAAGCAAACTGAGAGATTTTAGCAAAATGTAATCCAAAATATTACAACAACTCTCCAATTCAAATATCTGGCCAAATTTTGGAAGCACGGCTGTCCATCCATTTGGCAATACCAACATATTCAGCTGCAGAGTAGCAATAATATAGCTCTCCTTTTTGTAGAAACACTTCATAGTACCATCAGGGCTAAGGACTTGATTGAATTTATTCAACACTGCAAATAACAGCACTGAAATTAAATCCATTAAATACAAGCTTTGGCTACAACAAGCAAGCTGTAATTAGAGCTGAGTTGGCGAATGTTTCAAACTCAGTTTTTTCAACTCAATACAATTAACAGAGTTATTCACTAAAGTGAGAATTTAAGGTGAATATTAAATGTTAAGGTCAAAATAGCCAAGCTTGAAAAGTTCTCTAAATCTGTTATGCTTTAAGTTCAGCTACTCTGGCCTTACTTTTGATATTCACTTTGAATGCACAGTCCACTGCCCAAACAAAAACGTAAAACACTATTTAGTAGATATACCCCAGGGAAGACATACATGTATTTTATTATAAGTATAACTAAATACAGCTTGCAAAAACGTGCAGTTCTCTGTAGCCTTTGCAAGACCTACCCTTCTAACCCCCACCCAGACACTTGAATTGCACACTCTTTGTCTGTATGCACACTTCCATATTAAAGGACCACTATAGTGCCAGGAAAACATACTCGTGCCCCCACCCTCAGGGTCCCCCTCCCGCCCGGCTCTGGAAGGGGGAAAAGGGGTTAAACTTACCTTTTTCCAGCGCTGGACGCGGAGCTCTCCTCCTCCGTTCCTCCTCCTGGGCTGAATGCGCGCGCATTCAGCCCGTCGCATAGGAAAGCATTTACAATGCTTTCCTATGGACGCTGGCGTGCTCTCACTGTGAAATTCACAGTGAGAAGCACGCAAGCGCCTCTAGTGGCTGTCAATGAGACAGCCACTAGAGGATTAGGGGGAAGGCTTAACCCATTCATAAACATAGCAGTTTCTCTGAAACTGCTATGTTTATAAAAAAATGGGTTAACCCTAGAAGGACCTGGCACCCAGACCACTTCATTAAGCTGAAGTGGTCTGGGTGCCTAGAGTAGTCCTTTAAAGAGACAATTCACTACCCAAATACAAAATAAATAAAAATCATGGGGGGGTGTAGGCAGGTTAATTTTTAAAAGTGCCAATTTCTATTGATACCTGCACTTTTTGTAAATTAAAAAAAAAATGGAACACACTCTTTACACATAAAGCTTTTCAGCAAGCTTTAGGGATCTGGAGTGTCTCTTTAATGAATAAACATCAAAGCTCCTGTTTAAACGCCAATAAAACCAGTCTGTAAAAATATTCTTCCAATTTAGAGATATCTACAGACAATCTTCATTAGGTCACTTGTGCCCTGGGCTCTTTAAGGCTTTAATAATAAAATCAGAATAAGAGAATCAGCTGTCATGACTGCTCAACAGCAATTCAATGCTGAACAGAAAATGAAGAAGCCATCTGCCAAATCTTTTATACCGACAATCTAGTCTTTGGAGTGAAAATGCTAAATTAGCATTTATTATCTTCAGTTAATAAAGGCACAGTAAACTGAAAGATAAATATGCAAAAAAATAAATAAAAATAAAAATTGGGGGTAGTTCATGAAATTTATTTAATTGATAAAGGCCTCAATTTAATTTGTTTGTATCAGTATCAGAAACCATTTAAACCTGTTGGGAAAAAAAAAAAAAAGTCTAATGATTTATCTACAGAAATTGATATGATTCGAATGTGTTAGAAAAAAAAAAACCATTACAAATGATTCATTTCTCATTTTTAATGGTGAATTTTTGTAAATTATAAATGTTTTTTCCCTAACAAATTGGAATCATTTCAATTGAGACCAAAGTTAATTAAACCGTTTCCCTTCATTAGGGGAATATAATATTTTATGCAAAGTATGCTTCAGTTGTTTTATCCCCAATGTATGTGAATGAACTACCAGTATTGGAGAATGTCTTGAAGAATCCACAAATTACAAACGTGTTTCTAAACAGTTTAACGAAATGTATTGATTATTATTTGCAGGATTTTCTTACCGTCTGAAAGAGCCATGCAATGTTGGTTTCCACAGGAAACTTGATGAATTTTATGCTGACTTAATTTTTTGATTAACCTGGAATATCAGACAACTTACATTAGCTCACATAGAACATGGTTACATATTAATTCAGCTACTTCAAAATCTAAAGGAGAGCAAGCGAGAACAGAAACAACATTGAAATAGCATAATGACGAACTTAGTCAATGATGTAATTATAGGGTTTACAGATGGTGGAGTCACAGCTTGAATGTTTGTCCTCAATAACACTTAACTGAGAAATCTCAAATTTCTAAACTGCAAGTGCAGGTGCATAAGGACTGGTTAGAGAACCACTCTACTAGACATCTGGTAACTTGTCCCAGAAAAGTACACACCAGGTTGGACCACAAAAAATAATCTAACACAGGATCCCCAGAACTATGAAGTCAATGTGTGCACTGGCATTGCTTTCCTAATTCAGTAAGTAAAGTTAAATTCAGAACCTTGAAAGAAGCACAATCCTACTGATAACAAAATAAATGTGCATTAAAGGTAGACTATAGTCACCAAAACAACTTTAGCTTAATGAAGGAGTTTTGGTATATAGATAATGCAGTGTCACTGCAGTGTCACTGCGTAATTCTCTGCCATTGAGGAGTTAAATCACTTTGTTTATGCAGCCCAAGTCACACCTTCCTGCATGTGACTTACACAGTCTCCCTTAACAGTTCCTGTAAATAGTCATCTAATGTTTACAGTTCCTTTATTGCAAATTCAGTTTAATTTTTTTTTTAAATCTCCTGCACTGTTAATAGCTTGCTAAGACTGCATAGTAAAAAGGCAGAAAAATAAATGAAGAAAATCCCTCAATCACGAAACACATGTAGCCGCAACTCCCAAATTAAATAAGCATGGATATACTGGTTTTTCATCATACTTACAGAAGTTCAATAGGTACAATAACAGGGTTAGCTTCTCGATGCTGGAATACTCCCATGTGAAACACATTATGGCTGTATATGCCAAGTTATGGTGAGTTGATGTTGACAAGCAAGCAGAGGGATTTTAGCAAAATGTAATCCAAAATATTACAACAACTCTCCAGCTCAAATATCTGGCCAAACATGGAAACCACGGTTGTCCCTCCATTTGGCAAAACCAACATAATCAGCTGCAGAGAAGCAGTAATATCTCTGCTATTGTAGCAACACTTCATACTACCATCAGGGCTAAGGACTTGATTGAATTTTTGCATCATTGCAATTAACTGCACTGAAATTAAATCTAAAGGTTTGGCTACAACAAGCAAGCTGTAATTTCACATATCAATTAGTCAATCAATTAGTTAATTAAGGGTGTGAGTCTCAATAGACCAGCCCATTTGCACATCTTCTTCCTTTATAAATCTTAGGAATCCCATAGAATGCCCATGTTGAGAAAGCACCATGAATGGTGCGAAACGCGTCCAGGGCTTCTCTAATCTTTCTTTAGGGTCGGCTTCCTTGGTGGTCTCTCCCCTGTACAGCAGCTGCGGGTGCTCCCATGCTCAGGTTTTGGACTTTTTATACTTTTATTTTTATTTATTTTTCACATGCTTGGACCCATACATGAGGACTGCTGTTCTAGTATCTTGACACATGTATTTTCTTTTTTTACTACAATAAATTTGCATTTTTTTTCTACTATTTTATCCTGATGTATTTTGGGGGATTCCCTATGAGTGTGGATCAAAAAACGTGCCCTGTGTGAAATATCATAGGACTGTATAACCAGAAACAAAAGTGACTTAAAGGACCACTATAGTGCCAGGAAAACATACTCGTTTTCCTGGCACTATAGTGCCTTGAGGATGCTTCCACCCTCAGGGACCCCCTCCCACCGGGCTCTGGGGAGAGGAAAGGGTTAAACTTACCTCTTTCTCCAGCGCCGGGCGGGGAGCTCTCCTCCTCTACAATGCTTTCCTATGGACGCTGGCGTCTTCTCACTGATTTTCACAGTGAGAAGCACACAAGCGCCTCTAGCGGCTGTCAAGAGACAGCCACTGGAGGCTGGATTAACCCATTTATAAACATAGCAGTTTCTCTGAAGCTGCTATGTTTATTAAAAAAGGTGGGGGTTAACCCTATCCGGACCTGGCACCCAGACCACTTCATTAAGCTGAAGTGGTCTGGGTGCCTATAGTGGTCCTTTTACTCCTAAATGACAGTGAATTGAGTAGTGAGACTTCAGAGGCATGATCTATACACCCAAACTGCTTCATTAAGCTAAAGTTGTTTTGGTGACTACAGTGTCCCTTTAAATGCACTACATTTTGTTACTCAGAATTACTCTGGCTAATAATTACAAAGGCAGACCCATAGCCATTCTAGATTAAAACCCCAAATAAGAAGCACACACTATGGAAACCAGAGGATTGTTCCTACTGGCTGCTCCACTTTAGAGCTTCACTCCAGAAATGCACTACTTCCGATAGTCATCTTTTTTATTTTGTTCATGCCCTTTTTTTCTTTAGAACATCTGGAGAAGAAAAAGTTCCACTAAGGTAGAAGCATAACAATAATTATAGAGCTTTTTCTGTCTCCCTCTCTCCATCTCCTTGATAATTGTGCATCAAATGACATGCTACTGCTTTGTAATTAAAGGATGGAATAATATGTAAAGAGGCTACAACACATGAGAAAGCAAATGCTTTTACAACATGGATTGCCAAGGCTGTAATACACAACTTTAGGTGCAAGCAGGTAGGGTATGCATTATCACTGCTCCATTAAAATGGACTTTCCATAGTCAGAGCCTCATCCAGATGGTCAACATAAGCTAATATGAACTAAAAGGATGTCTGATAGGTCCACTGGAACGTGGAAAGTGGGGGGAAAACAAAACACTAACATGTCAAATAAAGGCAATGCCAAATCCACAGTATTAGGTATGAGCTACTTATTTCATTTATTCCAGTTGTGCACATAAAAAAAAATAAAAAATTATGCTCTGCAAGAAAAAATGGTACAAGGTTTTTTTTCTTTATTGCCAATCAATAATTATTGATGTTTTTGCAATGACAAGTGTGGCGAAACCGGCCTCGCCACGTGTCTTTGGAGGGGGCTGCTTGCCCGCCTCTTGCCTTTGGACTATGGACCAGACTTTATGTGAATGTGTTAACCCAGATAGCTATGCCATGGAGCCCATTCGTGTAGTTAAAGACTTCGGCTCCATGGCAATTGAACTGTGTGAATAGGATCTGAACGCTATTCGATAGTTTTGTGTGCTCAGATCCCAGCTATCTGGGGATATGTGAAATGTCTGTGTGTTATGTGTAAAAGGTGACTTTATGTATTTTAAAGTGTTTTATGTCTTTTTGCAACCATGTGCTTAATGGAGTCTTGTGTCTGTCCTGGGAGATAATTGAATTACTCTCAATTATCTCCAGGATAGAAGACTCTGAAACTGGTTTGGGCCGGAAAGCCATGCTTCATTTAGTCACAAAGGACTTTCCCTTAACTTTTGAACCCCTGATCTGATTCGTGCCATTTTTTAATATATTGTTCCCCTGAATGGATTGATTATGAAAATGTATGTTTTATGTTTGTGACATGTATATTTTAGAAGTTATAAATGTTGTGTAAAAACTGTATTCCTCTACCGGTGATAATGAGATTACCCATTGTGTTCAGTAATCATATCACATGCAGAGGGGAGGATTTTGTGTGGGAGTGTCTGGGTGTATTGTACGGATTGATTGGTTGTTTTGTAACGCCCTGTGGGCTGTTCTATGTTTGTGGATTGGGAATAAAAGAGACTGTATGTGACAGTACCGTGAGTTCCTGTTTTAACCCTCAAAGTGAAGTGTAGTCTCATTATTGGGGGAAGGATTTATTGTATGCTGTTCCAGTTTGACTGCTAGGAGAGTAAGCCTATTCGTATGGTTCCTATTCAACTGTCTACAGCATTCATATGCTTGGGAGAATTTATTTGTTTCTCTGGTTCGGTGATTGTGGTGTCTGCCAGAGTGCTTGGAGTCCTCAGGAAGCGCTAGGAGCATCCTTCAACGGAGGTACCCAGTCGGGGTGCCAGGCGATCCGTTACAACAAGGTACCATGACAAAGGATTACAAATGTAAGTAAGGAAGCAGAAACATACAAAGCACCATGTTTGAGTAAAATCATAGTCAGAAACTAATTGTCAATAAAGAGAAAATACATCTCGGCATTGAGTGTCCAGTATTTAGGGAGGCGGTAAATGGAATCTAGGATGGGAGTGAAGGGAGGCAAGCTGTGCAGGGAGAGGACAAAGGGAGAGGGAGGCAGAGAAGGAAAAACAGGAGTGTAGGATGGAGTAGAGGGTAGAGTGAGAGGAAGAAGACTGCACCAAGGGGAAACGCACATCTCACAATAGAGGAGAGATTCATCTCAGGTTCTCAAGCTTGGACACGTCCAGCCAGGCAATCCATGTTGTAGGAACTTTCTTAATTTGCAAAGTAGCCAGTTCTGAGATTACAGATAAGCGTATACAGAATATAATTTAAACACTGCACCCCGTGTCTCTGGCAAACCTCCAAGTATACCTTTATAACACATTAAACGGACACTTCACTACCCAAATCCACAATAAATAAAAATCACTGTTTAGTAGATATACCCCAAATGCCTGCATTTAATTACAATTTATTTTCATTGAGGTATATCTAAAAATCGCTTGCAAAAGTTGCAGTTCTGCCTTTGCAATCGCTCCCCTTCTAATCCTGCCCAGATTTCCTGCAGCTGTCCAATCACAAACTTCCCAATGCAGCTCAATGAGAAGTCTTTGCAAGGCAGGTGCTCTGAGCAATTGCTGCCTCTTGAGTTTAGCTCCACTGAGTTAACCAAACCAGGAAGTAACAGGATCTGCTGTATGATTGACAGCCAGTGGGGTGTAACCAGGTTAATTTATAAAAGTGCCTATTTCAATTGTTTAAAAGTGCTCTGGGGGTCTGGAGTGTCTCTTTAAGTCTTTCCTAATTGTTTGAGTGTTGGACTACTCATCACAGAAAGATCAGTCAATCACACTTGTGAGCAATACCTTCCACCTTACCCTGTATCCCTGATGATATCACGCCAGCTTTGTTTGTGAACCTGGTGTGGTGAGTCTGGTGTGTACATACCTTGGTACTGGAATGGAAGCTTCTGTGGAGGAGTGACCCAGCTGTCCTTCATTCCCAGCTCCCCAAGAAAAGATCTGACCTTCACAGCTGAGAGCCAAGTTGTGCGATTGCCCACATGCTACGTGAATTATTTTTTTATCTCCCAAGCTGGTCACATGACCTGAAAAAACAAAACACACACAAAGGCAGTGACAGTGACAACTGTTCCAGTGGTGACAAATCAAGTAATAATACTAACATCCCAAAAACATTGGCATCTATGATACTGTGATTATTACTCACTACCTCCTCCTTATATCTACAGAAACAGATGTTTAATGGGTTGGTGAATCTAGAAGGGCTAACAGAACACATTCACTGAGTTCAGGACTCCAAAGGGGTTCATTCATTAAACCAGGAATTCTGCAGAACGGACAAAGAAATTTTACATTTTAGCCCAGAATAACCAAAGCTGAAAATTCTGCAATTCAGCTGTGTTTCTAGCAATATTTTGGGAGGTATTCACATGGAACTGACTGCAAGTAATTCTTGACATAAACTATCAAAATAATTCACTAAATCTTCAATACCAGTAGAGGCACTGTAGGAAAGTGTCATCTGCCCAGTGCCATCTTACAAACATTATGGGCCCCCGGGGCAAAGCAGTGCACTGGGGCCCTGTCTACACACAATTCAAAGGAATATAAATTTAAATTATAGATATAATTAAAGGACCACTATAGTGCCAGAAAAACACTCGTTTTTCTGGCACTATGGTGCCCTGAGGGTGCCCCCACCCTCAGGGTCCCACTCCCGTGGCGTTGAAGGGGGAGGAAGGGGTTAATCCCTCACCTTTTTTCCACAGTGAGAAGCGCGGAAGCACCTCTAGCGGCTGTCAATGAGACAGCCATTAGAGGCTGGATTAACCCATAGGTAAACATAGCAGTTTCTCTGAAACTGCTATGTTTACTGCAAAAAGGGGTTAAACCTAGCTGGACCTGGCACCCAGACCACTTCATTAAGCTGAAGTGGTCTGGGTGCCTATAGTGGTCCTTTAAGTTTATATTTATTAATATCTCCAACAAATGCAATACATACATACATACACACAGACTGCTGAATACAGTTCACAGACAGCTGAATACACACACACACACACAAACTGCTAAATACACACACACAGAGAGACTGCTGAGAACACTCACAGACAGTCTGCTGAATACATGCACACAGTCTGCTGAATACATGCACACAGTCTGCTGAATACACGCACACAGGCTGCTGTGTTTGGGGGGGAGGTGTGCTGTTTATGTATGTTGCAGAGTTTGAGGGGTGCATTGTAGCAAATTATTATTTTTTTAATAATCCTATACATTAACAAAGTCTTCATCCCCCACTCCTTTCTTCTTACCTTTGATGAAGGAGGGGGGGACGCAGCCAGGGCCGGTGGTGGTAAGTTCTATGATGCCTGCAGCTCGTTTGGCTGCAGGCTCTCCTGTCCTCCAGCGTGCAGAATGCTGTGTGGAGCGTTGCCATGGTAACATGCGGCAAGGCTCCACACAGCCTGCTCGCTGGGAGGTGCGATCTGCTTCCGAGATCCCCCCCCCCACCTCCGTGTCCTCCCGCCCTGATCAAAAGATCTCCTCACCAGCCCGAGAGGGCCCAAGGCCATAAAACAGGGCCCGCTCTCCATGGGCCGGCAGGGGATATCAAAGGAACTCCCCTATCGGTCGGGCACGCTGGGCCTGTGGGGCCACTGGGCAAGTGCACAGTATGCCTATGGGGAAATACGGCCCTGCCTCTGCCTGTACAGAATTTCAAAAGTCATCTAATATCATTCTAAGGACCAATGCATGCTTGGGTAGTGCATCCCAGAACATACATTACTAATTAAAGGAACATTATAAAAACAAATGTGTATTCCTAATGCTGTAGTACTCTGTTAGTAGATTAGGTGCAGAGTGGCAATATTTTACATTGCAGGGTTTAAGCAGGCAGGGACATAGCTCCCAGACCAATTCATCGAGATGCCTATAGTGTTCCTTTAATAGTGCCACTGCTGACATTACTTCAGTATACACAAAATACACAAGAAGGCTTCAGTACACACACACACATAATACAAAAATACACAGTCATTCCCAATTGCCTATTTTTATGTATATTTTGAGCTCTGGCCAGTCTCTTTGAGTTAAGCTCCCCTTCACTCCACACACAGGTGACCCAGTGAAAAGCATGCAATTTGTAAGAAGTCCTCATTGAACCACTATAAAGAGTATTCTAAGCATCATATTTTCTAATTGTGGTGGTTATTGAACAATTAGGCTACAGGCGTAGTCCCTCTATTTTTTTGTAAAATTATTTTAAAGCGTTTTGTCAAGGATTAATTTCACTTCTTCATTCTCAATCTAATGGTATTCCGCCATCCTTAATCGCCTCAGCCCTTTCTATGTAGTTAATGGTAAAGGTGTGCCTTTCAGCAGGAATGGATGAAGTGACATAAGTGCTCTATTTATCTCCCATAGTAAAATCAGAACAGGACTATAGTGTAGCACACAAGCAGCAACATTTTGACCTCTAGCAGGTCTTTATCAAGCTAACGCCACAGTGTACAAGAATAGTATATAGAGTAAAAACAATTAACATAAATTACTTACAATCGTTAGTCTCAACGCTCGTGGAAAAAAAGCACTAGGATTTCTGGAAGTTTTTCTTTAGAGGTCGAAGGATTGCTGCTTGTGTGTTATATTTCATTTATTCTGCCTTATGAATAGCCACTGAGTGCTTGGACCACCTTTGTTATTGTTCCATTGGGTGGAGGTTGTGCTGACCTCAGTTCGGTTTAAGCACCTAGTGGTTTGAGTGCGGTTCTATTTTTTTATTTTTTTTTAAACAACGTCACCTCAATAAAGACCTACTGTCACTAAATGAGCAGGACATTCCTTGGCAGAATCAGGCACCTAACTATTGTAATTGATCCCTAACAATTAAAGGATTCTACTGGAAACTAAAATTGTTAGTAATATACACTAATGTAAAACTACACTTGTCCTATTTATTCACTGTATCTGCATGTCATCTATTCATTTGTTAAACCTTGGGGGAGATCTATCAAAGCAAAAAAAGATGACTTTTTGGGGGGTAAAGTTCTAAATGTTAAGATGTTTTATGAGTTTCCATGGTGATTGCATCTTACTTAGCAATTTGCCACAGAATAGCACCTGTGTGCCTTGATAAACATAAATAATATATATTTATATATATATATATATATATACACACACACACACATTCAGCCCTATGTATAAATGCCAACTGCACAATGACTTCTGAAGGTAGTTGTGTACAAAGTAGACACACCTTGGTATACACATGCTATAATAATGCTCATTGTTCATTGGTTCAAGCTCATAATTATTAGGCATAACACATGGATCAAACATACCTGGCTGCACTCCATCCTCAGTCTGTCCCAACTGTCCTGCAGCATTCCACCCACAGCTGTACACCCGGCCATCCTCCAATAGGAATACAGAATGGTGTCCCCCGCAGGCCACTTCCTTAATGGAACCTGCCAGAGGAAATCTGGATCTGCAGGGCTCTGATACAATGGGTGGTGGGTTGGGGCCTATCCCAAGTTGGCCGAACACAGACTGACCCCAACATAATAACATGGCTGACACATTCAGAAAGTCATGAAGCCTCTAAGTACCTGGAACACATGAATAAAGAACAAAGAAAGCAGGTTAGTGAGACTATAAGGATATTACTATTAGAATAATGATAAGAACACAGGGGTTTCCAGTCAATGTGCATATATAACGTTAAATATTGTGTAGCCCGTATCTGTTCTTGGCACTCAGTGACGACTCTTATAATATCAAAAGATGTTGATACACAACACTTGATTTCTTTTTGAATCTCAATTTAGAATTCTTCCTAGATCAGTACTAGAATTGTCGACCACAAAAGTAAGTTTGTTTACTCATTCATTTATTTTTGCGTGCATAAAATGTTAGATTTCACAAACTGGTCTCCATGGCTGGCATTGGTTCATGAAGATCCTACCCTGCACTTCCAGCTAAAACAGTATGTGTAAAGTAGAAGGCTGTTGTTAAGGAAACCTAAAAAAAGACATGTGTGCATATTTGAAACAAACAAAAAAATCAGTTTGAGCTCATGTGCACATTTTTACACCACATTCTAGGTGGGCACTGCAGAGCTCAAAATGTAATAATGAGCCAAGTCTAAAAGTGACATCCCACAGCAAACGTCAGTACTTGCTGGGAATGTACAGTAGCATCACAGATGGCTACGTTGTACCTAAATGACTCACGCAGTCCATTTGTTTTTGTCTTTACCACTATGCTAAATGACAAAGCATAAAAGGCTAAGGAAGTATAAAAAAATTATAAAACGAAAATATTTTGAAAGTAATTTGAATTTCACATTTTATTCATGTAGTAAATTTTTTTTTTTTTTTTTAGCACAATAAAGATAGAAAACCAACAGATTCTTAACTCATACTAAGGTATAAGCGGAAATAAAAATAAATGTACTCCTCTCTCTCTCATAAAAATCTGAGTTTGTTGCAGCCTTTTAAGTACTCCTCCCTGCATCCTACCTTTGTAGGATGTAGGCTAACCACTGATTTCTACACTTTCTGCAGAGTTTTAATTTGTGGTGCTGCATTATTTTGTTTAATGATCGCATTTTTGTGTTGTCTCGAAGCCTGTGTACACTCCCAGGACAAAGAAAATAGATTCCATAAAGCACTGTCACAAAGACTAATACACAACAATAAGTCCTGCGCTCAAACTCCCACTACTCCTCGGGGGCATCAATAAACATAGTACACATCAGCTCCAATACATACAATAAAAAACCAAATAAATTATTTACTCGCGCACTATCGCATATCCCTGCGCACATTTAAACAACTGGAGGTTTTTTAGTGTCACTCTAATGGTCATTAAAGTGTAAGCCCACCTGCCACGTCAAGGCAAAACCTCTTAGGTGGGTCCTACATTAACAATTCACCTTGCTTGCTTCAGCTTCAGGCAAAAAAATTTCTATTGAGACAGAGAGAGGTATTTTTATAAACCCCTACATTCTTATTAACCCTTAACTGTTAATGTAGGACTCAACTAAGAACTTTGCCTTCATGTGGCAGGTGAGCTTACACCTAAATGGCCCTTGGAGTGATACTAATGATCTCCAGTTATTATAAATGTGTGTAGGGATTTGAGAGAGTGCGAAAGTAACTATTTTCTTTGTTTTTTATTGTCACAAAGACTGCCTGCTGTTGAAGAAGAAGGAAGCAGAAGGGTGAGGTCTTTTGGGTCCAGAGCTGCTTATCTATTATGATAACAAAAGCATGTGACTACCAGGTGACCTTGTTTAATCCCACTTCTGTCAGTCACAGATAGCAGATGTTTAGGTGGTGCCGTGGAACCATCCACAGATAGTGGCTGAATTGAGTATAGGCACCATTGGATATGCAATCATTCAAAGCCAACATGGCAGACATCTTACTTAGAAAAAGAGCAAAACGTTTCACAAGAGTTACCAGAGCCAGTATGAAAATTAATTAAACCATGCATAATGACATGTTCTCACCGAACCTGTAACTAATCACTTAATTACCAACTCTGGACACTCTGCACTTGCACATGCTTGAAAAAAACCAATAAAAATTATTCGCTTCTGAGATATGAATGTAGAGAAAAAAGGTACTTCTCTGTAATTTGACACTAAAAAACATAAAAAATGTCTATGCACGCACATAATCGAAGGGGTACTGGAACCTCTAAATCCATATAAAGTGTGCATTATCAACAGCTGTGGTCATCTATTACAGGCATTCTATTTGCCTTAACCTCTTAAGGACCAAACTTCTGGAATAAAAAGGGAATCAAGACATGTCACACGTCATATGTCTTTAAGGGGTTAAAGGAACATGGCTGACACTATAGTGTTCCCTTACCCTTGTAGGTGTCTGCCCCAAGGTAAGATTTACTTGTATCCTTATATGGTCTCTTTGTCAAAGCTCTGTGCCCTTGGCTGAAATCATCAAGATTGACGATCTCAGCCAATCCAATGTTTCCTTATAAGGAAACATTGGGTGCCTAATTCACATTTGAGGCAAAACACCACACTTCTAGCGACTTTTAGCATATATTGAGACCATCTGATTGAATAGCCCAGTTTCACTTTGCTGTTGGGGTAGAAGCACCTCTTGTGGTTGTAAGGAAGATAGCCACTAGAAGCATGTTAACCCTCCAAAACAGCAATGTTTTCCTCCTGCAGAGTTAAAAAGACAGGGGCATGGCACCTAAATCTCTTCATTAAGAGTTAAAGTGTCTAATCTGTCCTGTTTCAGCAGATTTTCCACAAGCCTAGTCTCCTTTAAGAAGGATTTCTTGCCTTTACCCATAGAGGTGCCATGGAGAGATAGGATCTCAATGTTTGAGAATTCAAACATCCATAAAAGGGCCTATCAAATCCGTCATTGTCGTACAACGTCAGGGATGAAGCCATCTCAAAGCAGCTTGAATCATGCCGGATGTCATGGCTGTCTGGGCACGGGAAGGACTGTTAAGGGCTGGAGAAATTTTGTGGGGTAGTAATGATTTGGATGCCTGCTAGTAGTTGTTGTCACTGAGGGATTACCTTTTTGAACTTTTACAGCACCACCTGGTGCTGAGCTAAGTAATACACCCAACTGGTCCCAGTTTCAACTCTATAAATTACGATAAGCCTACATATACCACTTTCCAACATTTCAAATTGACAAAGAAGGACACTTTAATTTTATGGTTGTGGGGGGTGTGGTCACTGGCAGGGCTGAGAAATGTATGTTGACTTACTAATACTAATTATGAAACTAAATGTAGAACATGAACAATGCATTTTATTTACACAGACCCAACATTTATTTATGTGCAGCAATAATTCAGACACACCAAGAATACTAAGCTCCAACTAAAGAAGGACATTATGATAAAAATATGGGACAGAGAGATTTGGGTGGAAAATAGGGACTTTCCCACATAAATAGGGACGGTTGCGAGGTGTGCTTTCACTGTCATGTAAGACTGATCTCACCTATAAAGGCCGGCCAGATCCAAAATACTGGTTCCTTCTGCAGGAAAGATACAGCAACCCAAGGCCTGATTTGGGACTGCTTAGTGAGGCGTAACTGATCCCCTTCTAGGTACAGTAAACAGGGGGTCCACATCTGGATTCCCTATTAGAAGAAACTCAATTTTAAAATGAAATATCATTATTTTATCGTTGAAGTGTTCCTGTCTTGTTTTATCAGTAGGGCCACCACGTTTTATTAATAAAATAAAATAAATTCATCTTTTTTTTTTTTCATTGACAAGACCGTCTACTTAACACAGCCCAATCTGCACATGTAATGATTTCACATGCTTCTTATAGAGAAGCATTGGTCACATGTACTGAATGCGTTTCAATCAGCATGTTCTGCCCTCAAGATGCAGCTGTTATAACAGTGAACATAACACTGCTAGGAGCTGTATTGGGCTGTACATGAAAGGGACACTATAGTCAGCTTAATGTAGTGTTTATGGTGTCTATAGCCTGTACCTGCAGGCTTTTTAATGTAAACACTGCCTTTTCAGAGAAAAGGCTGTTTTTACATTGCTGCCTAGTAACACCTCTAGTGGCAGTCACTCAGACAGCCACTAGAGGTGCTTCCTCTATCTCAGTGTTTCACTGTGTGCAGCACCTACTTTCAGCGTCTCCAGGCTCTTCATGGAGACAGTGAATGCTCCCCAAAGAGATGCACTGATTCAATGCATCTCTGTGAGGAGAAGGTGATTGACGCAGCTCCCAATAGTTTTCCTATGGGATCTCAGCCATGAAAGAGAAGCCAGGAAGGGCCGCAGCGAGACCAGTACAGCGTGGGAGAAAAAGTGAGTAAAATCACCTTGTTATTGTGATCTAAGATGGTTTGGGGACCTAAACTGATAATTTAACACTATATCTTTGTATCCCTGACATCATAGTGTTACTTTTAAATCAGCATTGTTGCAACATCCTAGATCACGTATAACACAGTGCTGTGGTTAACCTGCAGTGTTAAAGGAACATTATAGCATATGTAAATGTATATTCCTAATGCCATAGTGCTCTGGGTGCCAATTAACATAGGTATGTATGCCTCTGTGTCCAACAGTTACATTTATGTCTGTCATACTGCTCCGTGATATATAAATCAATAGTAAAATGGTAATATAATGAATGTTTCCAGCATGTTGAGAATTTTACTCCAAGTCTATTTTTGGTTTATCTGTTTAGTCACCTGTCTAGCACAAGAATATATTATTATGACCAAAGCCACATAATTAGCAGTTACCTCTCGGATACAGGCGATCTGTCTAGACGTGTGTACAAACAATGGCTCAGGCTTTATATATTACAAAGTAATGTCTCAAAATCAGTGCTGTTTTTCACTACAGTATGCAAACAAGTATTAGATAACCATTAAGAAAAAAAAAAAAAATTCAAGAGGGACAGTCACTTCTCTGGAAATTACATCATATAATAAAACACTCAAAATGACAGATAACTTATTTTAACTCTTCAGCACACTGCAACAAGAATAGGAACCAGAAACATAGACTGTCTCTCCTGCTCTCTCTATATGGTATCTATGCTGACTGACAGGTAGCCAAGACAGAGAGGTGCCCAGTTTCAGGACAGAACAAAATGCACCCGTGTGTGGATTTTGCCCTTGTAGACAGTCATCCATTCAGGACAAATACGTTTTTAAAACCAAAATAACAGATAAAAAAACAAAAAAAAAAACCACAATTTTTGGGGCCCCTCTATAGAGTACAGGTGGATAAAATCACATCGTCAAATATTGTATAACTACAATGATGCTTTGGCATCTGGAAATCTGTCAATGATCCATCTTTGTGTGGTTGGATTTGTGTCTAGATGTATGTTTGTTTGAATCTAGTTGTGTTTTTGTAGGGATTCTGTGTGTGTGTGTGTGAATGAAGAGGTGGGTTTGCGTGTAATGTTGGATATAGCAACACGATTAAGCCAATCCAAGAATAACTTAAATACAGTTGAAAGCAACCTGAACAACGCTCAGAAACACACTACCAGAAAAATTTATAAAATACAAAATTTATACACAGATATAAAATACAACTACTATTACACCAATAAATACAAAACATAAGACCATGTATGAAAGAAGAATAAAGTAAAATAAAGGAATGTCCTTATGCAGCAAGCTTGTATGAATGAGTACCTTCAAGAGGTCCCTAAGTATTAAATGTCCTAAGATCCTTAGAGGAGCCAGAAAGTCCTAATGCTGCTCGTTAGAGTCAATGTCCTTAACATTCCCTGGTACAACAGTTAAACAGAGGGCCTAGGCATTTCATATGAGGCTATTCGAGTCTTTTACTTGGCAAATTTTGTGATAAATTTTATTCCATTTATATAACATTTTATTCCACTTATATATTGAAAGGTAAATTACAGGCCTTGTATGCTACTTTTGTATTCTGCCACATTTCCAGAGTATTGCGAAGTTTGTGGGGATCTTATAGGATCACATTTTAGACATATCCTAATTGTTATATACCTTTTTGCTTTCCCCCAGTGATGCTATTTGAAGAAGTGACACAATCTGTGTCATCATACTAACAAGTGTCAAACTTTGATGGTTTTTATATATCCCTACCAGTGGTCCGCAGGCAAACCTTTAGAGCCGGTGCCCAGCCTCCTCGACCCTCACAGAGGGGAGAGCTGTGCTGTGCTTTCCAGTTACACCTCTAAATGCTAATCCTTGCTTATGCTGTCTAGCCCTAACTAACGCTAATCCTTGCTATTCATAACCAGCACTTATCCTTCACTAACCCTAATTAACCATACATCTATTTTACACTGTAAAACAGATTTGCAGCGACATAGAAGTCATTGAAAATGGGGAGGGGGGGCGGTTTTAAAATAATCCCAGTCACACATGTGATTACCCCGGTTCCTATACCCATGGGATAGCCCATGGATGCTGACCACAGCATGCACTACTGATTGCAAAACTATCATATGCCTGGCAGATACCTTGGACTGTTATTGGAAAGCCTCAGTGCTGTGACTTCCAGTAAGAGCACAGTGCATGCAGTGATTGTGGTGATCCTGTAATGTACTGTGTTAAATAGAGGACACATGCTGCTTATCAGTCATTAAGGTCAACTATGCCAGCCAGCACTTGCCTGGGTTACCTCCAGACAGTCATTTCTGTGATGCTTCAAGAAAAAGCCTGGCATTGCTGACTGCAGTGCAGCCCACCCATGGAGTACTGTACGTTGGCATGAAGTAAGTTGTGGCACTTCACCCAGTATGTTGTTTATCACAATGAGATTAATTGATTTTACTGAGAACCAAGTCGTCATAAACAGAACTAAGGGAGTTTTTCCTCAACACTATGAAAGAGAGTCATCAAAGCTCTGGTAATAAAATTCACGAATATAACATTGAAAATCCCCTCTCACTTGTTTTAACTTGTTTTTTTTTTTTTTTAATTTGATGCTCTGTTTTATTTTAATTTATATGAAAGAAATTGGCAATCCCTTTTGGCATCACGGTTCACGTCACTATTTTGCTCTTCTCCTGAAAAGTACATGAATTTAAGAACGCCAGGCTAATCATTTGTGTAATTCTTTTTGTATGTTTTCTTGGGGGTATTTGATATCTTGGTTTGCAAAACCTGGAGATCTGCAATCTACAGCTACAGCATGCCTTCCCTATCCTTCCAAGTACAGACTTTCTCATTTGTGCCGGATAATGTCCATAGGGTTCCTTTGAGTAAAAATGCGGTTTTTCGTTTTTATTTTAAAAGTTGAGCCCATAATCAAAAAAGGCAGGGAACACACTAACAATGTTAGCGTTCCTTTAATATTTATTTATTGTAGTTGTAAAACCTTATTGGCAGTTATATTACTGTGGAGCTCTGCGTCACACTCATGTAGACAAATAGATCTGACCTTCTAGAAACCAACGACGAGAAAACAAAACATACACAAAGTAATAGGGTGGGAAAGAGGCATAGAAAATAGAATACCCACCCCCAAAAGAGGTACATTAGGGTAATAAGTGATGTCAGTATATAAAAACACATAACAGAATTGTTATAGTTTAAAGGTTTGCCATTAGATGCCGAACAGCATTAACCCACTTATTACAATTGGTGGCATAAAGTACCATAACTAAGCAAGAACTGCGACAACAAGCTTAACGTTTCAGAAATATTTTTTATATATAGCAAATAGCACATTAATTAACCAAAGCAGAGATAAAACAGCAATACTAAGGGGACAACTGATCATTGCCCGCATTGAAACATGAAAGAGAACAGACTTTTGAATTAAAACATTACATAAACATTATGAAATATCTTAGACAGTTACTCTAAATTTGAAGATAGCCAGACAGTCCAATAACAGAATAGAATATGCTTTGATTTAGATTTGCACATAACATACCTTCCAACACTGGCAGGTATGCAAACAGCACTCACATCACCATCAATGCCTATAATGGATGGGTTTGTCTGCCCACTTAAGGGGCGTTACAGCCACTTACCAACAGGACCATACAGGGAGCTCTGCTAAACCTGGAGACAGGCTTTATAGGGACCCTATAGGCACAGAGACCAAGTCATATCAATAAAGTGGTCTGGGTGCCAAGTCCCTCATATTTTAACACTTGAATGTAAAACATTGAAAATTCAATATAAAACATTTTTACTTTGGAGGGTTTAAATTCAGCTAGTGGCCTATAGTGTCCCTTTAAAGAAACACTATTGCGTTAGCGTATTGCCAAAGCTATAGTTTTTTTTAAAGGGACAGGGCTCGACAAATCCTAGGCGACAGGAAATGTGTCCTGGTGCCTGGGATGAGTGAGCCCCTTCAGGCATGGGCTAATAGTGAGCAGAGGTGGGCGGACAGACAGGCAGGGGCTAATAGTAAGCAGAGGCGGACGGCTCATTAAACAAGAGCTGAGGCAGGCAGGCAGGCGGCTGACTGATTACGGCGGCGGCAAAGGAGCTATGATCTTCCTGCTCTGCTTCCTCACGCGCCCTCCTGTGATGCCGGGAGCCAGTGTATGATGTCAATCCGGCCCTGACTCATTAAACAGCGTGTGAGGGAGCAGGAAGGTTATCAGAGCAGCCCCACTGGACTCCAAGGGAAAGGAAGGGAGGCTGGGGGACAAATGTAAATAAAACATAATTTGTGAGTGTATGTCTGCTGTCTGTCAGTGAGAGTGTGTTTCTGCTGTCTGTCAGTGAGTATCTGTCTGTGACTGTGTGTTTGTCTGTGAGTGTGTGTCTCTCTGCCTGTGTTGTCTGACTGTGAGTGTGTGTCTGCCTGTCTGTCTGTGAGTGTGTCTGCCAGTGAATGTGTTTGTGTGTGTCAGTGAATGTGTGTCTGTCAGTGAATGTGTTTGTGTGTCTGTCAGTGAGTGGGTGTGCGTCAGTGAGTGCGTCTGTTTAGGTGACCGACTGCTACGATCGCACGGGAGACTATAGCGCATGTGCAGCAAAACACGCTTGAATCGGTGCACCGTATGGGCAGCATTAAGCGTCTGCATGGAGGTGCTGCACACTGTGGGGCACCTATCCAGGATACACCGCTAGAGATAATCTGAGTGTTACTAGGCTGCAATGTAAACACTGCCTTTTGTCTGTTTACATTGAAAAACGTGTAGGGATAGCCTACAGACTACAGAACAATTACATTAAGCTGTAGTGGTTCTGGTCCCTTTAAGACTTGTATTTTTGGCGTTAAAATACCTGGCTCCTAACATTTTGAACTGCCTCCTAGAGTCCAAGTAAATTTGACAAGCCCTGTTATAGGCACATAGACAACTTCATCTCCGGGTGCCATGTTATACATCACATTTGTACTCCTAATGCTATAGTGTCCCACATCACTTTGAAGAACTGGGTTTGTTCAACTGATATTCCATCTACTTTAGGCATGGAGCACATTATGAATATACCCCATTACACCGCCTTCATTGCGCTCTTTTATTAAACTTTCCTGTTATAACCTAAAACAGGGATAGGCATGTCAGGAGGTTCTTTTAAGTTTTAAGCCCTAAAACTAGTAATTTTTTGGCAATTTTTTAACTGTGGCAAATTGACTGACCACAACTGTGTTAAATGGTTGTGACCTGTCACAGTACTACACACTATTCTCTTATATCTAGCCCTTCTACTTCTACGCTTTGCTTTTTCTTCATCTTGTTGGGTGCACTACACGTTTATTTATTAGCAAAAATGAGCACGTTAGTAAATTTTTTAAGGTTGTTTTCTCTATAAGCCTCATGGGATATTGTTTATTACATTTCAACTGTGACTAGATTTGTATCTATACTATTTTTGCCACTTTGAAAAGAAAAAGAAGAAAATAAACGATGTTATTATTTTTAATTTTATACATTCTAAAGATGATGAGTAATAAGCCACTGAACATAACTTTAACTACACATAGCAATTAACATGTGTATGAGTGTCTGCAGTGTCATTTTAAAGGGACACTCCATGCACCATAACTATGCTTATCAGACATCCCAGTTGGACTGGTATTGTCCCTGGTTAGAAGCCATGTCCTGGCGTGCCACCTGGTTGATAATTCTGTCCCGGCGTCATTGCCGCTCTGCCAGCTAATATTCAGTTCTTCCTCCTTCCGTGGCAGCACTGGGAGGAACTAACCTTAAGAAATGTTATTTCCTCCCACCCATGCAGGAGGGAAGCCAAAAGCATTCTGCAGAATGTGTCGCAACAGGGTTCTGAGTGTGAGTAGCCTTTGGCGGGGGGGCCATGATTTTCTCTAATTTAATATTGTGTACACTGCTGTATCATTAAACTACAGTAATGTCCCCTGCACTCTAATGATTACTAGAAACAAAGCTATAAACATTCTACTATCAGTGCAGCAATATTATAGTGTACTTGCAATTATGACTCATGCCTTTTTAAAAGCAACCATATCAGCATTTGCACATTCTACTTAGATTCACAAACATAGAGTGAGTTATGATGGTGAAAATTCCTGATATAATGTCATAAACTACGTGATAGGCTTCATTTTTTTATAAAAGCACGTGAAAACAGTTTGACACAAAAAAAACCCTTGAAAAACATGCACCACAACCACTACAATCAGAGTGAGCAATTCTGGTTTTTGGAGAGTCTCTTTAGAATTTAAAAGGAGCCGATAATAAATAATACGTACTATAGTCATCCAGTTTTAGTTACAAAGCAAACATTTTCTGTGTCATCAAGATAGCAAATACAGAATAGAAGGTGGACATATACAAATTAACTATAAAAAATGTTTTCAGAACAATTATCACCGCTCTGTTAATTATGATAACTAGGTTGCTATTTTACTTTATACATTTATTTCTCTTCGTGTTTGAAAAAAAGATGAAACACAATCATTAAAAGGTTGATAGTTTAAGAAATAGACTGTATGCAATTCATTTCCTACAGTAAATAATGCAGGTGTGCAGTGTATTTTTCCTTTCACAGCAAATACCAATACAATGGAGATTAGGTAAAACAAAAGAGCAATTGTGCACTGCAGCAAGCTTCTAACATTGAAGCTACTCACGTGAATTCTCATTGGTTTCCAAGGTAACTGTTCCTCTTTAAAGACTTTAAGCCACAATTCTACATAACCTCAATTGTCTCTGACATGAAACTATGGTGCATCTTGCTTATTTCTGATGGAAAGTCTGGCTATTGTAAATATGATGTTGAGTAAAACCACAATCTTCTCTGCTTTAAAGCCACACCCGAAAATTACCTACTGGACCAGTCAAACAGGTCCCGCAAAAAAAGAGCACAAGGCTGTGTAACTGGGACCTTTGCAACAACGCATCTTTTTTTGTTTATTCCTATTTATTGCCGTACATGTTCCAAAATATCCCTTGCTGTGCTTCTTCCATCATTTTATTTTGCCATTCCTTTTTCCATTCTTTATTTGGTTCACAAGTTTTCACTTCAAATATATGAAAAAAGAAACACAAACATAATCCTTTTTTTCTTGTGATAAACTTTTAAGACACCATCAGATTGGCAGATTTGAGTTGATAGGTAAGTGGCTTTCAGTGGTCCTTTTTGTTAAATTTACATGTAAAAAACTCTTCAAATTGTGAGTGCACTTTTTTCCTAATAATATCAAACGAACACAGCTAGCTCCATAAGCACTACAGCCCGCAGTAGTGGTTATGGTGCCAGAAGTGCCCTGACCCCATCCTAAGGGAAGTAGTCAAACCAAATAGTCATTTTGCAACAGGTTGCCTCTTACCAGAGTCATGCCAAGCACGGATCCTCATGCTGGCAGACCTGCAGAAGATGAAAGATAATTGTTCCGTCCATTCACTGGCTGAAAGCGATACAGAATGAACCTCAAAGAATGTGCACAGACTTGAGTATTATTCTAGCCTTCTTTACCGAGACCTCCAGCAGCAAAGAAACAGTTAACATAGTCAAAAGAAAACAACCAATCAATATGAGGTTAGACGTATAAAACGCTTAACTGGACTCTCGCACTTTCTCTTTCCTTGAAAGGTCGAACAGGAGAGCAGAACATCTATAAACGGCAACCATGAAAACATAACAAAACAGGACAAAAATGGTCAGGATAACACTGATCACACTGAAAAGGAAACCCGAAAGACTGGTGAAAGTAAAGTGTAAGAAAGTTGTCACATCAATATAAAAACAGTCCATAAATCGAAATATGCAAAATCAATTTCAAAACAAAACCATAAACATCATCCAAAGAATAAAAAAAACACACTAGCATAAGTACCCATTATGACATGAAGAGACAAAGAAAAAAAGGGATGGAAAGAAAAACAATGGGGTGGGAATATTTACCTACTGTGTTTAATAAAATTTTGATTATTTCTGCACCAAGACTAGAATAAAAACTCAGTTTTACATCAAGACACGAGGCTATCATATTTGCAAGTTTAACACCCAGAAACAAACGCAAAAGAAGCATAAGATCAAGGACGGAAATAAAACATCTGAATAGTTGTCAGGGTTTCTTTGCTGTTTTAAAGAGCAACCCTTCCTTTTTCTGTGTCTGAGTTTTCAGCTGATATTAAGGATCAGCTCCTTCAGTATGTTGCCACGGTTACTCACCTGATAGTAGTAACCAGCCCTGCTGCTAATCAGGCAGCCTATTTAAAGGACCACTATAGTGCCAGGAAAACATACTCGTTTTCCTGGCACTATAGTGCCCTGAGGGTGCCCCCACCCTCAGGGTCCCCCTCCCGCTGGGCTCTAAGGGGTGGAAGGGGTTAAACTTACCTCTTTCTCCAGCGCCGGGCGGGGGCCTCTCCTCCTCCTCTCCTCCCTCTTCTTCCGTCACCGGCTGAATGCGCATGCGCGGCAAGTGCCGCGCGCGCATTCAGCCAGTCCATAGGAAAGCATTCTCAATGCTTTCCTATGGACACTGGCGTCTTCTCACTGTAAAAATCAATGAGACAGCCACTACAGGCTGGATTAACCCATAGGTAAACATAGCAGTTTCTCTGAAACTGCTATGTTTACAGAAAAAAGGGTTAATCCTAGCTGGACCTGGCACCCAGACCACTTCATTAAGCTGTAGTGGTCTGGGTGCCTATAGTGGTCCTTTAACCCCTTAAGGACCAAACTTCTGGAATAAAAGGGAATCATGACATGTCACACATGTCATGTGACCTTAATGGGTTAAGCAGCAAATCCCAGTACCTCCTTGCCCTTGCGTGGTTTCCTGTTCCCCAGAAGTCTCCTTGTTCCTGTGTGTTCCTGGTTCCTGACTCTAGCCTTTTTCCTGACTTCGCTGCTCTCCGTTCTCCTGATCCTGGCTCGTCTGACTACCCGCTTTGGTGCCTGACCCCTGCTTGCCTCCTGGACTTTGCTTTTGGTTATTTCTTTATTTTCTATTTGTTAATAAAGGTGTTGTTGCATCTAGTTCTGTCTCTGTCTGGTTCCTGGTCCCTAACAATAGTTGAGTCCTGGGACCAATCTGCTGGAGACAAAATCTCAGATAAAAAAACGGAGCCAACTCAGACAGAGTAGGCACCAAAGGAACAGTTCACGCCCACAAGATGAGCCACCGTGGGAGTCGAAACCGGTTAAAAGGACGTGCATATGAAATCAAGAGTGGACCACATGGAGAAAATTGAGATGTAATAACAAAGGCAGCAAGCCACAAAAAGTCAAGGTCTATCCAGAAAAAAACCAGATAAGAACACAGAAGACAAATTAGACTTTGTCCCATGAGAAATCATGAAAGACAACACCAGGTGAAAATGAAAAAGAATTGGTTTTGAAAGTTCAGACACTCTGCGAAACTAAAAAGCACATAATTGTTCAGCCATTCTTCCAGAAAGGAAGGAGAAGTAGCAAGGGGGGGGAGGTCTGTCCAGACTGATGCCACAAACTAATCTACAAAATTGTAGGATCCCACCCTAGAACCATAAATAGGACCTAGACCGCAGAAATGGTCGAACAAAAATTTTGATAATCCTGTAGGATTAGCCTTGAGAGAAAATGCAAGAGTGAAAATTCAAGATGGTCACGAAAGGGGCAGTAAAGGAATCCAGACCCCTTTCCAGAAAGCAGGTCCCTAGCAGCTGGTGATGGGCCTGACACATTCCATGATCCCCAGAAACAGTCCAGGCCACCAGAGGTAGGCGATCCTTTAAGACTAACGAATGAGGATTGCCTTCTAGATCCAGAAAGAGAAAGGGTGAGTGAGGAAGAACAGGGGATCATCGCATGATAACTATAGAAAGAGCAGGAACAAAGGTTGAGCTCTCCAGAGTGGTGCGACAGCAGTATCGTCGCATCTTGACACTGCAGAAGATGAAGAGTCCATATGAACATAGAGAACGCAGGAATCTCATATGCTCCCGAAGCTGACCATGTCAGGAGAAAAGCATCCACTGCGAGACAGAGAGGATCCAAAAACCAGTTAAAGAAATCGACCATCTGACAAAATCACCTTGAAAGTGAACAAATCCAGGTGAAGAAGGTCCTGCCAGAGGCTGGCATCTCTTCAGTGGTGGGAGAACCAATCCGTGACAAAAATGTCTCAACCTGGGAGATATTTCACTCTGAACGAGAGATGCCTTTCCAAACAATACTGGAAGAGATCCTTTATGAGGTCCCCAGGAATTTCCAGTGGGATTCACCCAGGCGGTTATGTAATGCAACGCAGTCTGAGTGACGGGCCACTAGAGGTGTTCCTAGGCAGTAATGTAAACACTATATTTTTTCTGAAAAGACAGTGTTTACATTAAAGAGCCTCCAAGGACAGGCTATAGACACCAGAACAACAACATTAAGCTGTAGTGGTTCTGGTGACTATGGCATGTCCCTTTAAAACTAGCACTTGCTTAGATTGGCTAATGATGGCTGCCAGAGCTGGAGTTACACCTTCAACAGCAATATAAAATATCAACGTACGTGCACTGTTTCAGTACAGGATTCTTGCATCATAACCACTTTAAATGTTATGGTGCTTAGGGTAACACTTGAAGCTAATTTTTAGTAAAAATTACTGTAAATTCTTAAAACAATGACTGGTGTCTTGACATATAGCATTATATTTAGGAAGCTCCAAGGGTTTTAAGAAAATTTCCTATACATAAGGGTTCTTTTTTTCTTTTATTACCACTGATCATTCTGCTGGACTGCTGATAAACGGCTCATCATCTGTCAGCTGACATAGTGATCATTAACTCCCATTTAAACATGCTTAATTGTTTTATTGCCAAGATCTGTGACTCAATTTAAAGGAGAAATGTCAATATTCTAACAGCCATAGCTACTCTATCCTAACATGATGGAGCTTTTAATGGGACAAAGGAGTGCGGGAGAAACAGGTATGAATCACAATTTCCTCCACCAACATCTTACCATAGTTCACTGGGTGTGTACACGGTCCTTGTTTCATAGTGTGTACAAGTGAGTGTGCATTCAGGCTATCAAGAACACCTAGAAAAAATAGCCCAATGCACTTGGCTAATCAAGGGTTGCTTACAGCAAGTCCTAGCAAATGCTTGATGTTCCAGCAGGGATAAGCCAAATGAGCTGTGGCAACTGGCATTTAATGTGAATAAGTGCAAGATAATGCATCTTGGGCAAGGTCAGAGTATGGAATATTTGATAGAGTCCTAACCTCAACATCCGAGGAAGAGGATTTTTGGGTAATTATTTCTGATGAATAAAAGGATCACTATAGTGTCAGGAAAACAAAGCGGTTTTCCTGACACTATAGTGCCCCCACCCTCAGGTTCCCCCTCCCATGGCGTTAAAACCCCTTCAGCAGCTTACCTTAATCCAGTGTCGGGCTCCCTCGGCACTGGTGTCCTCTCCTCCCCCTCAGATGTCAGCTCCCGCTGCCAACGTCAGCGGAGCCGAATGCGCATGCACGGCAAGTGCCGTGCGCGCATTCAAAGTGTCCATAGGAAAGCATTTCTCAATGCTTTCCTATGGACGCTCTGCGCGATGGAGGCATAATATGTCTCCCGCGTCGCAGCTGCACCTCTAGTGGCTGTCTGGAAGGCAGCCACTAGAGGCTGGCTTAACCCCAAATGTTTGCATCTGAAGGGTTAAAACCTGAGGGACTTGGCACCCAGACCACTTCATTGAGCTGAAGTGGGCTGGGTGACTATAGTGTCCCTTTAAAGGTAGGCAGACAGTGTAATATATCAGCAGGAAATGCTAGCAGAATGCTTGGTACTATAGGGAGAGGTATTAGCAGTAGAAAGAGGGAAGTGCTCATGCCACTGTACAGAACACTGGTGAGACCTCACTTGGAGTATTGTATGCAGTGCGGGAGACTGTATCTCCCTAACACTCACTAACAGACAAACACAGACACACACTCACTGACACACACACACACACTCACCAACAGACACACTCACTAACAGACACCCCCACACTCACTAACAGACACACACACATTCACTAACAGACACACACACTAACACACTCAAGTTTATTTTTTTAAATTCAATCCCCCCAGCCTACCTACCTTTGGGAATGCTGGGGTGTATTATCACTTTCCCTGGGGTCCAGTGGGGCTGCTGGGCGGACGGCCGGTCACTGCAGTCGGCAAGGGAGCACTGATCCTCCTGTTCAGCTACCTCGCGTGCCGCTTACTGATGCTGGGGCCGGAATGACGTCATATTCCGGCTCCGACATCACTGCGGTGCGCGAGGGAGCTTTACAGGAGGACTAGTGAAGTTCCATGAAGTTCCGCCGCTGCCAGCCTGGGGGGCCCTGAGGCAAGTGGGGGGCAGCTTCTTTTGCCGTCCCCCAGAAAGTAAACACACCCCTGATCTGCTGTCATATTCTATGTTTCTATATTTCTATGCTATACTGCCTGAATGCCTGACAATCAGTACAGGAGAGAAGTCAGCTGAAAGACAGCTTATATTGTCCTTACATTGCAATTTAGTTATATTCAGCATTCACAGAGTGTGATCCTAAGAAAACATCATAAAAATTGCCATAGCGATTACTGATTAATGAACACAACCTAATGGGGAATGTCTGGAGTTCATTCACTAAACACCAATTTCTAATGATTTGAAAACAAAAAAAGGCTGATTTGGAAAAATTCTCCATAGTTACTAGAATTGGAGGTTTGATTCTCTACAAACTACAATTCATCCAAATTGGAAGATTGGTCGAATTCCCAAACTCTGAGCCAAAACGTAGCCGATTCACGAACCAAACAAAACCTGCAATGGCCAAGTTTGTTCGTTTTGTTACGTGATTCTGGATTCTACCTATGGCACCAAAAAAAGAGATGATTGATGAAAAAAAGATGATTGACGGCTAAGGAACAGTCACTAAATGCTGGTTTTATTACCAGTGGTATTTCAGCAGTAAATCAGTGAGGATTCCCAAAACCTCACAAGCAATACAAATAGTGACAAACAGCGCCCAAAAGGGTGTAAAAATAATATAACACTTTTGTGTTTATATAAATATATATATTTACATATGCTTCTATCGATTCGAGATACACTGGTATTGGGTAACTTTTAATAACCTCAAAAAAGAAAAAAGAACAAAAAATTGTGCAATATGTATCAATATTTAGATTAATTTGTATAAAGTGTATAGAGGGCCAACTCACACTTTACTGAGCTACTAAGAGCTCTGCTGTTATTTGCCTGGACGGTACAATCCCTGTATCTTATGTATATATACTACACCATAAGACCGTTCTCTGTTTTATTTTCTCCATGCATATTGGACGGCGAGTACCACAGAGCTACATATATCCATAGACAGGGATTGTACCATCCAGGCAAATAACAGCAGAGCTCTTAGTTGGCCCTCTATACACTTTATACAAATTATTCTAAATATTGATACATATTGCACTATTTTTTTGTCCTTTTTTTCTTTTTTGAGGTTATTAAAAGTTACCCAATACCAGTATACCTTGAATTGATAGAAGCATATGTAAATATATATATATATATATTTATATAAACACAAAAGTGTTATATAATTTTTACACCCTTTTGAGCGCCGTTTATCACTCTGTTTGTCACTATTTCTCCAAGCTTGTAATTCTAAGCATTTATATGCAAATACTGGCAGGCTGGGGCTGGTCATTTTGGGTAGAATATGGGTCTATAACTTGGGAACCTAGCTGTTTTAGCAAAACTATTTTCTAAAAGTAGACTAATTACCATGGAACACAATGGATCGTGCTTGTTGATTTTTCCAAACATTTTACTTTTCAATAGAATTTCATACACTATGTCCGACATGTATGACACTGTACATTTTGTGCAGTAGCAAAAATTACTTTGTAATATTATCAAAAGATGAATGTGTTCATGTCTGGTACACAAAGCACTGCTCCATGAATCTAACACTTTTTGGGAAGAAGCCTTTTCTCCAATCTCAGGGACATGTGGTGACAGGTTTCTTACTATACTTCAATTATTTAACACTAATTGTAATGATGTTTTGTGATGGCTCTTTAAAATAACTCAAAACAATGAATGGGCCTGTGCAATTAAATAAGGGCATACAGTAAGACGATAACAGGAGAACACTTTTGTCTATATTCATTAAATTTTAACTGAAATAAAATTATTTCCTCTTCATGTATAGAAATGTATATTGCATAAAGAAGAGGGGTTTATGGTCTTCAATTCACTGTATGAAACAAATAAACTATATCTGCAGGCATTCGTACGAAGAGAGAAAATGTAGTTACTGATATGTTTTAAATATGTTTTTATTTCACATGTGTATTTTACATCTGGTATGAACTTGTACATGTTTAGCCATAGGGTGCGATCATTGCTATATTATATTGTTCCCAGTATCTAGGTGGCCATTGCCGATAATTGTGCTGATATTGGTGTTGCCACCTGTTCATATTTGTGTTGAGTATTTGCGTAGTTCAATACGGATGGTTTATTGGTTTATGAATGCGTCTTACCAGGCGGGGCTGGCTCTGTCTTGGTGATGGTGGTGTATGCGTGTCTGGGTAGTGTCATAGTAGTTGAAGGGCTGTGCAGCCACGTATAGTTACTGATTTGTATTACGATTGCCATGTTGATATTTTATACAAAATTGTTTTGAAAATGCTTATTCATAGTATAAATGTGTACTTATGTGAGCTTAAAGAGCACAAGGCTTGAGTGTACATTCTCCTGATGGCACAAACCCCTAATTCATTGATGTCTTGAAACTTGAGAAACAGATCTCGAGGTCAGTCAGTACACGTGAACTTCTAAATCCCAAACTGCATTTATTGCCTGTCAGACATAAGCTTGTACTTTATGCAAAGTACATACAATGATCAGCCACAATATTAAAACCACCTGCCTAATTTGGTGTAGGCCCCATCATGCTACCAAAACAGCTCTGTCCATGTACTGATGCATGGACTCCACAAAGCTGCTGAATGTGTCCTGTGATACCTGGCACCAAGACATTATCAGCAGATCCTTTAAGTCCTGTAAGTTTAAAGGTGGAGCATCCATGGATCGGATTTGTTGTTCCAACACATCCCACAGATGCTCAATTGGACTGAGATCTGAAGAAATTGTAGGCCAAGGCAACACCTTGAACTCTTTGTCATATTCCTCAAACTGTCATGCACTGTGTATTCTGACATCTTTTTATCATGACCAGCATTACATTTTTCAGCAATTTGAACTACAGTGGCTATTATGTGTGATCGGACCATGCGGGCTAACCTTCGAACCCCACGTGCATCAATGAACTTTAAGTGCCCATGACCCCGACACCAGTTCACCGGTTGTCCTTCCTTTCACCACATTTGGTAGGTGCTAACAAGTGCATATCAGGAACACACAGTAAGACTTGACGTTTTGGAGATGCTCTGACCCAGTCGTCTTGCCGTCACTATTTGGCACATGTCAGAGTTACTCAGATCTTTTCTCTTATCCATTTTTCCAGCTTCCAACACATGAAATGGAAGAACTGACTGTTTACATGCTGCCTAATATATCCCACCCCTAGACAGGTTGACATTGTAACAATATAATGATGGTTATTTACTTCACCTGTCAGTGGTTTTAATGTAAAGACTGATGAGTGTATATATACTCCGAGTCCAGACAGATAAATCGCTTTAGCAAGCTGTTTCAAAATATATATTTTTAAAATGTATCAATAGTGACATTGTAACACTATTATCTGTCATAAATCTCTGAATCACACCCCACATGTACATATTTTTTTAAAGTAGACAACCCAGGGTATTCAATATGGGGTATGTCCAGTCTTTTTTAGTAGCCACTTAGTCACAAACACTGGCCAAAGTTAGCGTTCATATTTGTTTGTGTGTGAAAAAAGTAAAAAACTAAATTGAACGCTAATTTTGGCAAGTGTTTGTGACTAAATGGCTACTAAAAGGGATGGACATACCCCATTTGCAATACCTTGGGTTGTCTTCTTTTGCAAATGGTATGCCATCAACTTTTTATGACACCCTAAAACCTGTACATGGGGGTTACTGTTATACTCGGGAGACTTTGTTGAACATAAATATTAGTGTTTCAAAACAGTAAAACGTATCACAACAATTATAACATGAGTAAAAGTGCTGTTTGTGTGTGAAAAATGCAAAAAAAGTCACTTTCACTGACAACATCATCACTGTGATATGTTTTACTGTTTTGAATCACTAATATTTGTGTTCAGCGAAGTCTCCCCAGTAAAACAGTACCCCCCATGTACAGGTTTTAGGGTGTCATAGAAAGTTACAGGGTAAAATACAGTGCTAGCAAATTAAATTCTCTGGACTTTCGGCCTGGGTTGTCAGGCAGGTCCGTCAAATTGCAATCAATAAATTACTTAATTATAATCAAAAAATTTACATAAATACAAACGTACTCACTTTTGTTGCCAAGGGTTTAAACATTAATGGCTGTGTGTTGAGTTATTTTGAGGGGGACAGCAAATTTACACTGTTATACAGGCTGTACATTACTGTAGCAGAGTGTCATTTCTTCAGTGTTGTCACATGGAAAGATATAATAAAATATGTACAAAAATGTGAGGGGTGTACTCACTTTTGTGAGATACTATATATACATATTTATGATCTAAGCTTTAAATCATTAATTAAATGTGTGATTATTTTTTTAAAACTTTATTACAGCTTTGGGGGACTGCCTGACAATTTAGGCAATTCCCCTGCAGTCAGTGCTGAAGCCTACTATTGTGGCCATGTGACTGCGATGTCATAGTTATCATATGACCCTAAAGGGCCGGACTGGCCACAGTCCCGCCAAATCAGATTGCCGCAGAGGGTACCATGCTGTCCTGCAGCGTTAAGTCCCACTTTTTGCAGGGCAGCATGATATGCCCCCGGTGATAAGGGGTTAAACTGCCAGAGCCTGACTCTTTTGTTTAATGCCACTTGTGATGCCTGCACATCACCAGTAAAGTCTCTGTTAGGAAGAATGTGCTGAATTCAAACAGTGCACAAATGTGTACACATTATCCAACTCTATAGCCACAGTTTGGCTATGGTAGAATAGTTTTTGCAATTTGGATCTTCACTGCTACTATTCAGACATTAGTGAATAAACTCTTTTAGGGTATAACTCTGACAGAAATTATGGAAACTAAAACAAAACCATTATTTGTGACATTTATACAAAAAGAATGTGTTTGATGATAAACGGATCAGTGTGTGACAAACCAAAGTCTGTAGGTCTGTCATACTGTAAAATAAAGTAGCCAATCTTGGAAAGAAGCGTCTGTGTAAGAACATACAGTCCTGATCACAGCTTACAACACATAAATCCCACTTAATACAATCCTGCCAAATCTTGTGCAACTGAATGGTACATCATGCCTAGATAAGTATCACTGACTTCACAAGCCTGGCTTTTAACCCCTTAAGGACACATGACATGTATGACATGTCATGATTCCCTTTTATTCCAGAAGTTTGGTCCTTAAGGGGTAAAACTAAAACAATAAGAAAACCAGCTGTATATCTCGAACATTGCTGATAGGCAGTTTTTGTTTTGTTTAGGAGTTCCCACAAAAGAGAAAGCCACTCAGCCAGTCCATAAAGCCGTGCCAGGCCTTCCACCTGGCACAGGAACTAACATGGTGCCACGTACTAGAACAACTTAATGCGGAACTGAGGGTACCCAGTGTGAAATATGTCTATCTCTGACTTTAAGGGAAGAAATGCACCCTTCCTTCATCAGCCATTATGATCTTGACAGCTACATGAAGCTGCCACTGAGTTCCGTGACTGGTCCCTGTGTAAGTGGCAGGTAGGATTCTAAACGTGGAATGTTGGCGACTGATGTGGAATGTTAGGGTAACTCACCTGTGTGTCCTGCAGTTACCGATCCGTCAGCCCCGGGCATATACAGTAATAACAGGGAAGTTTGCAGAGCGACTCCCACACAGGCTCCTCCCTCTATTCCCTGTGACCGGCTGCTAGTTCGGGCCAATGGCAGTAGGCTACCGAGCTCTGTATTGAGGGCTATGGGGCGGCTGATGGCTGTCGCCTTACTGTGCCCACTGGGTGATGAGAGCTGTGTTCGGGCTTTATCATTGATCTCTCCATCAAGATTAGTTCGAGTCCGGAAACAATAGAAAGTATACTGCAATTTATTGCTGAGAGTTAAGGGTGTCTAAAAGCAGGGATTAAAATTTGCTCTTCTCTCACTGTGAGAGCTGATTGACATTGTAATGTGTGCACTGCTTTACAGAGAGTTCATTCACTTTCCTGCTTTTAGGAAACTACCTGCATACCTGCAGTCTCGGTATTTTCCAATAGCCATGTATGTGGAATTCTTAGTGGAGGTGTGTGGCGTTGTGGTCAAGGGGATGATCTGGGACATTTTTATGACATCATGTTGTGCCAACAGTGTTTTATGGCAGTGATAACGTTGTTTGGCTCAAGATCAAAGTATATTATTTGCACAAAGTAATTTCTAAATATATTTACTGCTTTTTAAATTGGCTGTCACTTTTGAGTTGTTGTTTTTTTTTATAAGAAGCTTTATGAAAAATTCAAAGGCACTGCATTGGAATTTGTATTGACGTCAACCTCAATTTAATACGCTTTCCAAATGGTTCTATACGGTAAGAAAAACTTCCCAAATGATTTAGTTACAAAAATGCCCATATACGTTAATGGAGACTTCTATAGATATATCATTTTAAGGTTTTTCAGGCAGTGTCATTTGGAAAGCTTATAAAATTGACATGGGTGAAAGAACTTGCGGCTGAAGCTCCTGGCAGCCTAAACTATCTGGAGCTGAAAACAGAGTCAAAGGAAAACATGGCTTTGCCAAGGAAATAAATATTCAGGTAAGTATATCCAGTGGAGGCTTCTTTGTAGAGGTATTTGGGCAGCTCTAATCCATTTTCCATTGCAATAAATAAAATAAAAACTGTTGGTTTCTTCAATGCTAATAACGTAGTTTCCTCTGAAGAATGCCTGTGTATATAAAGGACACGTCTTTTCACTGGGTCAGAAGTAGAATACATGGGTTAAAACAGTGGTGTGTTTTGGAATTGTGCTGCCCTAGGCACGACTAAATTCCGGCACCCCCCCTTATCTAAATTTGCCTCACCAATTTATGTCAGGGCCATTTTCTTTGACTGACAGACACACGCCCTCATTGATACATGCACTGACAGGTAGACAGTCATTGGCACACACACTGTTTAACCGACACACACTTACACACCCACAGGGCCGCCATCAGAAAATTTGGGGCCCATGACAAAGCACAAGGTCTGGGCCCCCCCCTCCTCGCGGGCCCGCCCACGCCCTACCTAGTCCGCTCACAATGATGCAGGACTGAATGTGGTGTGTGTATAGTGGAAGTGAATTAGAATGTGTGTAATGGATGTAGTGTTTGTGTGTATTAGATACTGTTTGTGCAATGAATGCAGAGTGTGTGTTTGTGTAGCGGATGCAGTGTGTATAGTGAACGCAGAGTGTTTTTGAGTAGTGGATGTAGTGTGTGTACAGTGATGTAGTGTGTGTTTGTGTAGTGGATGTAGTGTTTGTATGTACTAGATGAAATGTGTTTAGTGGATGCAGTGTCTGTAGTGTGTGTATCAGACGCAGTGTCTGTGTATAGTGAATGCAGAGTGTTTCAATTTGTGGTGGATGTAGTGTGTGTACTGTGAATACAGGATGTTTGTGTAGTGGATGCTGTGTGTACAGTTAATGCAGAGTGTATGTTAGTGTAGTGAATGCAGAGTGTGTGTCAGTATAATGAATCCAGAGTGTGTGCATAGTTTAGTGAATGCAGAGTGTATGTTAGTGTGTAGTGAATGCAGAGTGCGTCAGTGTAATGAATGTAGTGTGTGTGTTAGTGCAGTGAATGCATAGTGTGTGTAAATTTGTAGTGAATGCAGAGAGTGTGTTAGTATGTAGCGGATGCAGAGTGTGTGTTAGTGTAGCGGATGCAGTGTGTGTTGCGTTAGTGTATGCAGTGTGTGTTAGTGTATGCAGTGTGTGTGTTAGTGTATGCAGTGTGTGTGTGTGTTAGTGTATGCAGTGTGTGTGTTAGTGTATGCAGTGTGTGTGTTGTGTTAGTGTATGCAGTGTGTGTGTTGTGTTAGTGTATGCAGTGTGTGTATGTGTGTGTCAGTGTATGCAGTGTGTGTGTTGTGTTAGTGTATGCAGTGTGTGTATGTGTGTGTCAGTGTATGCAGTGTGTGTGTTGTGTTATTGTATGCAGTGTGTGTGTTAGTGTATGCAGTGTGTGTTGTGTTAGTGAATGCAGTGTATGTGTGTGTTAGTGTATGCAGTGTGTGTTGTGTTAGTGTATGCAGTGTGTGTTGTGTTAGTGAATGCAGTGTATGTGTGTGTTATTGTATGCAGTGTGTGTGTTAGTGTATGCAGTGTATGTGTTGTGTTAGTGAATGCAGTGTATGTGTGTGTTAGTGTATGCAGTGTGTGTGTTGTGTTAGTGTATGCAGTGTGTGTGTGTGTGTTAGTGAATGCAGTGTATGTGTGTTATTGTATGCAGTGTGTGTTGTGTTAGTGTATGCAGTGTGTGTTGTGTTGGTGAATGCAGTGTATGCGTGTGTTTTTGTATGCAGTGTGTGTTGTGTTAGTGTATGCAGTGTGTGTTGTGTTGGTGAATGTGTGTGTTGTTATTGTATGCAGTGTGTGTTGTGTTAGTGTATGCAGTGTGTGTGTTTAGTGAATGCAGTGTATGTGTGTGTTAGTGTATGCAGTGTGTGTGTGTGTGTGTGTGTGTGTGTTAGTGTATGCAGTGTATGTGTTGTGTTAGTGAATGCAGTGTATGTGTGTGTTAGTGTATGCAGTGTGTGTGTTAGTGTATGCAGTGTATGCGTGTGTTAGTGTATGCAGTGTATGTGTGTTAGTGAATGCAGTGTATGTGTGTTATTGTATGCAGTGTGTGTTCTTAGTGTATGCAGTGTGTGTGTTGTGTTAGTGAATGCAGTGTGTGTGTGTTAGTGAATAGTGTATGTATGCAGTGTGTGTGTGTGTTAGTGTATGCAGTGTGTGTGTGTGTTAGTGTATGCAGTGTATGTGTGTGTTATTGTATGCAGTGTGTGTGTTGTGTTAGTGTATGCAGTGTATGTATGTGTTAGTGTATGCAGTGTATGTGTGTGTTAGTGTATGCAGTGTGTGTTTTTTGTTAGTGTATGCAGTGTATGTGTGTGTTAGTGTATGCAGTGTATGTGTGTGTTATTGTATGCAGTGTGTGTTGTTAGTGTGTGATCTGGGGTGAGGGGGAGGAAGGGGCATTTTAACATTAATTTTTAATTAATTTAATTAAATGTTTCTCCCCCCTCCCTGCTTACCTGTGTCCATGGAGGGGGGAGATTCCATCCCTGGTGGTCCGGTGGGTGGCCCCCTGGCTCCCTGTTACCGCAGAAGGGGCCCAGGCAGCACACAGCTTCTCCTCTCTTCTCATAACTCTCGCGAGACCCGGTTACCATGGCAACGCTCCGCGGGTCTCGCGAGAGTTATGAGAAGAGAGAAGACAGGAGGAGAAGCAGTGTGCTGCCTGGGCCCCCTCTGCGGTAACAGGGAGCCGGGGGGCCCGCGGCTGCACACATAGATAGCGATATTCGCTATCTATGTGTGCAGAAAGGGAAAGTGACGGAAAAGTCAAAAGGGAAAAGGGAAAGTCACGGTTGTCACCCCCTGATGGCGGCCCTGCACACCCACTCACTGACAGACGCATACTCTCAGATACACATACACTGACTCACACACATCCTCACTGATTTGACACACGCTGACAGACACACACATTCACTCACTCACTCACAGACACACACTGATAGCTACAAGCACTCACATACATACATACACTCACACACATTCACTGACAGACAGACACAAACACACACACTGACAGACACACACATACACACACACATTTTCTCATACACTCATTACACTCACAAATTATTGATACTTTTTTAAAATTTAAATCCACCCTGCTTCCCTACCTTTGGGCGCTCAGTGGAGGTGGCAAGAGAACTGAGCTCTTATTGCTCTGCTCCCTCTGCACCGCTTAGTGATGCCAGGGCCAGAGTGATGTCATTTTCTGGCTCTCGGCATCACAGAAGGGAGCGGAAGGGAGCAAGAAGAGCTGAGGAGACCGCTCCCTCACCACCATGATAGAATATTAGTAGTTTAACACTGTGGGGGGGCCTTAAGGTAGCCAGCCAGCCAGCCAGCTCTCGGGCCCACCAGGACACAAGGCAAAAAAGGAATTTGCCTGGGTGCTTAGGATGGCATTTTTTGCCGCCCCCCCCCTGAAAGTGCCGCCCTAGGCAAATGCCTTGTTTGCCTTGTGGTAAATACAGCCCTGGGTTAAAGGGACACTATAACCTCTTCCTCATATTCACTAGAGACACTTCCTACTTGCTGGGCAAATTTTGGTTGCCTTACTGACTGGATGTCCAGTGTACGTTGCTTTCCTCTGGGGGGGGCCTAATGCACTTGCAGCGCTCACTGTGCATGCGCATAATGCCCCCAACGGGTGACGTCAAAGGAAGCCGAGCGCTGACCCAGCGCCAGGGGGTTCAGAGGGAAGTATAGTGTTTTGTATTCATTACACTATAGTATCCCTTTAAGTTAATATAGTGCAACAAGACAGAAGTTGTGTTTTACATAGATAGGTGGCACAGTCAAATTGAAGGCGTGCAATCTAGCATTTCAACTACTTATACCAACCACCACGATTATCTGTTATGTATTTTCTTCCTTTCCCTCTCTAGTTTGTGAGCGAATGTGTCACACTCGCGGTTCTTTACAAAAAAATACATATACCCCACAAATGACAATTCCACTTTAAAGTACTACTATAAATCATATTACTGTATCAGGGATACTAAGGAAAAGTCTCCAAGCACATGAATGCATTATTTCAAGGAATTTTCACCCTTAAGAAAAAGCTTTGTGTGTGACATCATTGATTGACACCACTTCACCTGCAGGCCTGCAGTTAGCGTTTTGCTTTTTACATTAGATTCAGGGTCTATTATTGTTAAAAATATTTTTTTTAAAAGGGGAAAAAAAAGCCCTAAAGTTACCCATAA